CTGCCCGATCCTAGTAAAATTTGGTAGCTGAAATAAAAAATAATTATAATGCATAGGGTATGCCAAAATTCAATTGTTTCTAGCATGGAAATTTCAAAGAAATTTTACTGCTTTAGACCCTAATGTTTTATTCAATTTCTATCATAAGTTGATAGTTCTCCCGCAAAAACCAACTAAAACTTGCACGTATAAAGATTCCTTTAGCCAAGTATATGTAATAAAAAGTTACGTCATAAATTCGTAGAGATTTCGGCGGCCATTTTAGCGCACCACGGTTCATGTGACATCTGATAAAAAGTTTCCGCCGACTCAATTAATGACACGACCGCTAAAAAGACCGTAACATTTACCTTCCATAACTTTTGGCCAAGAATAGCACTTTTAATTAGGGTGCTCGGCCGAAAATTGAATTTTCCGCCGCTTCTCGCTGGGTACATTTTATAGCCGGCGTGGGGGTGAGTGGTGTCTTTGTTTATATTCCGCCGGTGCGTGCTGTTTGCGAGGAGCAAAACAGACAATGAGTGTCAAGCGCATGCACAGGCTCACAATAAAGAGATGGCAACAATGGCCGGCGCGCAAGACGAGAAATTAATTTCGCCGCGCAATTTCACAAAAGTAATTCTCTTCGCTGAACGCAGTAGCAGCGCGTTTATCACAAAGGCAACTTAAGAGACGCCTCCACGCGCACAAAGGACATCCCTCCTCTTTGACTCGGCGAAAACTTTCCGCTTTCGATAAATTTTGCGAGCTGCGACGAAAAGAAAAAAAAATAAATCTCCGTGCGGGAAATTCGCCTCTTTGCACTACTTTATTTCCATCTTTGATCTGCGCGTCGGGATTTGTCGGGCTTCCACAAGCTAATGCTTTTCCAATTTCTAATAACTTAAGCGACCGAGCTGTCAAAATAATTTCCGCGTTGATTCCCCGAATCGTATTAATTTGGTAAATGGCTTCACAGAATCCATAATGTGCAGAAAATTTAATACAATATGCGCGTGATTAATTTGTACCTTGAATTAAGTCAATTTATTTCTATCCATCAGGATTTTCTTAGTATCTTCAGAGAGTTTCTTAATTAAAAAAAAAAAAATCAATTATTTTGAAAAATAAAATCCAAATTATACCATTGCGGAAGAGTTTCAGCAATAAAAGTAACACTTTCACTGTAAATAATTTTTTCCTAAATCATTGCCGGCCACTTGACAAGCGCCTGAACCTTTGAAAGTAGGCAACCTGCGTGACTTTACGATGAATAAATTAGAGATTTCTAGACAGATTCAGTAGTTGCGCTAGTCTTGATTTGCATTGCATAAATTTTTAAATCAATAATAATGCGCATTGACCTCTAAGTAAGTCTGACCCGTTGTTAGAAACTGAAGTTTAAACTGGATTTATAAAAACAGTGTGTGAGAAGAACAAAATAACAAAATTAATTAAGAAATAAATTCTGGAATGTCCCCAAAAATTCTGTCTTTAAAAAAGTTTGAAAAGTTAAACAGGAAGACAGGGCAAAATAACTAGCCTGTCTCGCGATTTCGCCTAATTCCACCCCACACAAAGCTACACTAATAATCACAAAATGGACTCAATGCTCACAGACGCACACTAACAATAATTGTTAACTTTTTTATCTTCAAGTAATTTTTAGCGCGAAATATGTTTCTTGTTTTGGGAAAACTTCCCCAAGGAATAATAGCCCGGTTCCCAACTCATAAATAAGATCTTGTTTCAGTATTGTCAGAAACTAGGTGAATAAATCATCTCAGTACGCAAGGGCCGTGGGTTAATAATATACAAATTGTCCTTCTGGGAATTGTCGATGTTAAAAATGTGACGTTTACAACTCGCAGTTCACATGAATTGAGATGATTTAGGTGTCTTGTCAAGCGTATACGCAAGTTTGTAAGTTGCAAAATTTAAAAGCTTTGTAGTTTAATACTTAAAGCAGGCATAATTTTGCATTGCATATGTCGCATATGTGAAGAATCGGTAAAGAAATTTGTAATGATCTTTCATTAAAATCCCAAGCGTTTATATTTTTTTTTTCGAAAAGTATTACAACCATTTTTTTTTCGATATTATTTGCTTGTCAAAGTTGACATGGATACGGTGGAATATTCATTTTAGGAAAATATAAATTTCGAAATCAAGCCTCTGATGTAAAAAAAAAATTTCGCAAAATAAAATGTTATTGCCAAATAAAAAGCTTAGCTCTTTGAAGTGACACCGGAATTTTTTTATTATTTAATGCCCAAAATTTAACACATACTAGCAAATTTGAAAAAGCGGAAGAATGTTTAAAAAATACGTTCAAAAAGTTTCCAGACTGCTTGTCATCTTTTTTGTGCAACTTTCTTTCTATCATCCTCACATTAGCATGGAGGAAAAATGAAAAACTTTGGTAACAGGAAAATTAAAGTATGCCGCGGGAGAGAAGAACAACCAACTTTTTTAATATATCTCTAAGCGGCTTTAAAACTTTTTAAAATAAATGCCTCAGTTCTATGCACGCCCTTGAGACGTCCGCGGTGGGTCAAAAAAAAACACAGGCTCATTAACCGACTACCGCATAGCGGCTGATTTATTTTGCACGCACGACTGGTGGGGGGTACGATTTTCTTGATTGCATTCAGTCACGCAGCGGCGCCGGGCCGGAAAAACCAATATTAAACCGGCAGTCGTCAATCACCGTTGGTATTCCGAGATGAGAACTTCTCGCCTCGGGACTGAATAATTGTCCCCGCTTCGATGAGTGAGATCAATGTAATGAGTTTTATTAAATTTCCCTGAGCCGTCTTGAGATTATTAATGGCCCTTCTGTCGATTGGAATTCCGTTTCGCACAAGAGCAGATGCGTTATGGAGGACGTGTCGGGCTCGTCTGGGCAAAACGCCGATAATCGCATCTCGCACGACGGAGGCCAACTATGAAATATGTCACAGCCCGAGAGTGCCTCCGGCAGAGTCAATACTTCTCAATATATCTCTCTTCTTGTGCCTTTCCGTTCCATTTGCATGCATGTCTTTTATTCCAAATATATTCATCGATTCCGCGCGCCGCTCTCTGATTCAGTTTTCTCTCTCAAAGTTCGTTTCTCTCTTTCCCTCTTGACAGTTGGGGCTGTGATGCAATTAGAGTGGAGAGCGAGATTGCTCCACTGCCAGCTCACAATGAGTCGCAAAAGTTTAATTGGTCGCTTCTTGTTATAAAAAATATTTTCGTTTAATCAGCCGAGTGCTAAAAATCCACCGAGCAAATTAATTATGTCGGGAATGAAATCAACCGAGATATATCATCTCGAGTGTAAATTAATGGCACCACCCTTGGGTTTATTTTATTGCCAACTGAATGAGTAAATAGGGCGAAAATTTTGTAATGAAGTTAATCAATCAATTAAAAAGCAATTATTTGTAAGTGTGTCAGTTCGCAAATAAACTCGTGGTATTTTACTGGAAATTAAATTCAGGACAAGCAGTGAAAAGTATTCATTACTTTAATGGGATGGTTCATTTGTTAATAAAACTGTGAGGCAATTTTGATTGGCTGGGCTCATGAATGGAAAAAGATTAAATTTGTTTGGAGTCATTTTAGAGCGAAGCCAATTCGGTACTGTTAATTGTACATTAAAATTTTTTTAATTGCAGGCTTTTCCATTAGCATAAAACTATGACTGAAATTTTGAAACTGAAATATAACAAAAATAATATTAATTATTCTATCATTTTTATATATTTTCATCACATTGTGGCACGACTACAATTAGTGAACGTTATTTTCTGTCATCTGCAATATATAGTTCTAAATATCAAAGTACTTCTAGCAAAAATTTTTTAATTTGAAGTTTTGATACGAAAGAAGTAAATAAATAAATAAAGTGACATAATACGTAACACGTTTCCACGTTTCATTCACATAATTTCCTAATATTGGCAAAATCGGAATAATAGATTAAACAACCAACAAAAAACTTATTTGTGGAGCGGCAGATTGAGATGTGTTGGTTTCATATTTGTCCAGACTGACAATGAGACGAGTAAAAACATGAACTATTGATTCAAGAAATTTGCATTTCTCTTACGATTAACAGTCAAATTTTTTGGAGCGGAAAAATCAATACGTGTTTGCTTTGAGTAGGACAAGTTTGCTGACGTGTAATTGCGAATGGATTGCCGCTGGCTATTTGGCTGGAGCCTCGTTTTGGAATACATGTGTGTGTGTCCAGCCGGAAAGCTGAGGATATAATGGAGGGTCCTACGGCAAAGCCAAATGTTTATGTTTTGACCATATATCGCATGTAATACGTTTTAAAAAGTTTTTTCTGCTCATATTTATTCCTTTTGAACCTAACAGGAGGGTTTAATTTTACAGCAACCAGGTTGTCAGTTATAAATAATTAAAATGCTTGCAATATTATTTTGTAACTTTTATCTGTATTGGTCTATTAATTGATCCAATTAATCCTTGATCTATCTGTGGTTAAATTCAGTTTATGGCTTAAAATTAAAAACTTTGAATTAAAAAAAAAAAAAAACTATTTGAGTGTGTTTTTAAGTTGTGACTATGAATTAAACTGTTTCAGAGACTTTTTTTGTGGTAGAATTTCACAATCGAGGGTTGATTTATGGTGATTTGAATTTAAAGTCGGCTTTTCCTCGATGGGTTTTGTGAGTTGTTTATTATTTAAGAAAAAACAACTCACAAAAACATCCAGGAAAAGCCGACTTTAAAATGTTTCAACCTTACAAATTATAATCATAGTTATATTTTCAAATGAAATGGGCAAGAAATTAAGAGCCCTGAAGTGGAAAAACCTGCTAAAATAATATTTAGAAAGAAATGCAAAAGAGTCGCTTGAAATTTTTCCAGTAATTTGTTTTTAAATTACATTTTGACAGGACGGTAATGCAGTCGACGTTCAAAAGGAAATTGTGCTGAATATTAATTTCGTTGCTTTGTTTAGAGGAAAAGCAAAAAATTGTAATAAATAAAAAAAAACTTACCCTGCGATTTGATGCTGCTGTTGGACTGGTTGCCGTTGGAGTTGTTGTTGAGGACGTTGAGGAAGGACGAGCCCGTCAACCGGCTGCGCTTCAAGATCCAAAACATATTTCGTGAGACTAGTGTGCTGTGTGATATGTGTGGGGTGCGGGCTGGGGTGAGTCGGCTGCTGGTGGTGGCGAGGGCGAGCGACCGACGACTGAGAGCCAGCAGGAGCGACACGCACCCCCGAAAGGGCGCGCAGTCGCGGCCGCCGCCACCTGAAGTGGAAAAGCGCAAGCAGGCAGGGTAGTGCAGCGCAGCAGCAAAATCGTACACCGGGATAACAAACGGGATTTCCCTCCCTAATGCTTCTCGTGCTGTCGGGGGTCACACACACACACACACAGATGAAAGAGGACGTCAATATTTGAAGGAGCTCGTTTGCAAAGCCCCTTCGCGCAAAAGGTGGATGGGTAGATTTATTGCACGGCGGAATTCCAATCGCTTTGCTCCGCGCGTTCAAAAAAGCACCAAAGGCTTTTGAGCGTTATTGGCGATTGCTTAACCCGTATCCTATGCCAAATGTTCAAGTGTGTGTTTAGTATGGATTCTCCTCCATCATTGAATCTTCTCTGACCCAAATGTCGTTTTTTTTTTACTTTTTTCCAGCTAGTGAATTGTAATAATTGTAATTTATTCGCAACACGGGGTCGTAGGATTGATATAATTAATATCATAATAAATCTTCTTAAAAACCATTAATATAAAAATTCAATTCTAGCTTTGAGAAGTTTTTCAATTTATTCAATTTATTTATCAAAGAATCAAATTAATTTCGCCCTCCATAAGTTTTCTTTTTTTAGATAAGAATCGCATTGAAGATCAAAAATTTTAAGGGAAATTTCTCCAAATTTTTTATATAATTAAATAATGTTGGCGTTTCCTGGTTGGAAAAACGCGTTTGGATGAGCTTATTATTATTATTTTGAAAGACTAGCAAAACGTTTCCTGGTGATAAAATTCCTCAATTCGCAGTTAATTAATTTACAATCACGTCAATCACTCGTACAACCTCACTTTTGAATTTCAATTGGATTTTTTCCTGCTCGATAATTTTAATGGGTTCCCCGAACTAACCGTCGTTTTTTTTTTAGTCAGTTAAAATTAATGAGGATATTTCAAAGCACTTCTGTTTATTCAACCAACTAGAGTTTCGAATTCATGAAAACAAAAGTAAGCTTCGTTAAATTCATTTTGCCTCTCCCTCCATTATTCATACTTCGCACCAGTTTTCTGGTCATTATTAATGATGATAAACAACGTTGCCGGAAAACTGCAAAAACGGCAGTTTGAACATTTCATTCCACCGCATTTAATCCGAAAAGCTGCCGTTACTAATTATTTATGTGGACGTAAACACGCGCGCGGAAGCAAATTCCCGTCGTCATTTATATTTATAGAGCTGCGTTTCGCGCCGCAAAACTGACCCTAATTGCGCGAGATGGAAAAATGAATGCTTTTTGTGCGTGTAATAATAATTATATGGAGTCCATTTTGACACTACTCTGCGCTACGGGACACGAAACAAGATAATTTGCAGCACATAACATTGCTGTCCAGCCTGTCCATTTGCGGCTTGAGGTCGTACATTGCCAAACATCACAATTTGGCTAAATATAAATAATAAAGCAACCGTCGATAGGTCGATACAGTTTTGTATAGTTTTTAAAATTTTTGATGATTAGTAAAATATTGATAAATAATATTCTATTTTTCTTCTTCAAATAAACCAATTCTATTTTTCGTTTGATTTAAAAAAAAATCATGATTCCTATCATAAAAATCAATTCTGTTAACTAAAATTTGTTGGTTTAGTTATCAGTAAAATTTTTATATTTCTAATTGGAATAAAAAAAATTATACTGCAGGAATTTTAATAATTAACTTTCAATTAATTTTGTCTTATTTAACATTATTTCAGGTTCTATAATTGAATTCTTGTTAATAAATACAATAAGAAATTCAATATAACTTTGAAGAATATTATATAATACTCAATATTTAGGATTCCATTGAAATTGTTATGCAACCAAACAGCAAATTTAGGTTGTATGCTCAATTCCGTGTAATTCTTATGTAAACGCTCTCGAATTTTCTGGCAATCTGTTCAAGAGCTATCGGTTTCATTGAACTGATTTAACGTTAAAGGGAAGCATATCACGCTGAAAGCTCTTTGCTCGTGCCATTGATATACCTCTCGTCAGAACATCAAAACGACGAACGCCGCTCTAGATATTGGCACAATAAACTTCCTGGTACATTTTGCTATGATCCGTGCACACATAGAGGCTCTGCTCAAGAGCAAAAAAAGTTGCGACACACGCGCTCCCTGCGTAGAAGTTGCTCCTTTGATCAAGTAAAAAAATATCCTTAAAAAATGGGCGATTTGCTTTGATCGGCAGCAAATGATACCACGAAATGCAAAATTTTCCCTTTGAGGTGTAGGCACGCAGTATAGCCAGCAGGGGGTGGTTTTTGGCTCTTGAGAGGCCAACCGCATTCGCTAATGGCTTTTAGTACTCAGGGTGCGACGGTATATAAATATATTTATGGGCGTGGGGCTTCGGTAATAACTTGTGCATTAAGGGGCTGTGCGCCGCCTTTCTGTTTTATATCAAATGATGGATGCCTCTCTCTCTTTTGCTCCGTATATACACATCGACACGCGCTTAATGATGAAAAATGGAGGCTTATTTTCTTGTCTGATTTATATTGCCTACTGCCCCAATTTGCCAACAAATTTAGCGTGGAAAACTGCAGTCTTCCACGGCGGCTGCTCAAATTTACAAGAATAAGAGACCAAATTACGGAGAATATCCTAACGAGACTCTCTTATCCTCGACGTTCACAACACGGAAATTTTGGTCCTTTTGTATGTTGCCATTATTTAAATTGACAGATTCAACATTAAAAACCAATTTTACTTGCGTAAATATGGAAAGGAAATTTGAATTTTAATTCATCCGACGCGAGAAATGTTCAACTTTTTCTCCACTGCAATCGCATAGACATATTTGAGTTCATAAATTATTTCAAAACTTAAAACTCTTTACAAAACAACCAAATACACTCAAGCTGAAAGCGACATCGCACTCTCATATTCTTCCAGCAATTTTTTGTGTGCGTAAAAATGTGCTTGAGACTCTTAAGTAATTCCGCTAAAAGCCTTGTAATGTCTTGATACGCGAACGTGGCAGACCTTCTTCTTCTTCTACTACCTCTCTTGGATGAGATGCACTCGAAGACTTAAATCAATTTCTCACTCGCCAAAAGTCCATGTATACCCTCATCAAACTTCTCGGAATTAAAAACGCTTTCATCTCTATTTCTCTTTCCTCCAAGCCAGCTCAAGACAGGCGGAGGAGAAAAAGTAGCTTTGTACATCTCCAGCAGCCGGTCGGATATGTAAAGAAAAAGTGCAGGTCTCTCTCAAGACCGTAATGGCGTAATTCTGAATAAATCGCATGGGAAAAGTGGCAAGTGATGAGAGAATAAAGAGCACTCTCCGTCGCGGCAAAGCAGCTTATATGCCTGATGAGAATAAAATTCGCAATTTTCCTGACGAGGCTGCAAATATTTGCTTGATTCTGAGCCTCACTGCGTTAACCTTGGATCTCCTTTTAATTAAATATCGACCCGTGGCCGTGGAATGAGAGAAGAAGCGAAAGCCAGGTGCAAGATGAGCAAGCGCCTAATTAATCCTTTGTCTTTTTCCTTGAGCACGCGGACGGCCGGAGACACACTATACACTCGTTATTGAAATTTTTGCATGGCCACCGGCACTTTTGCATTGTTTTTGAGACAAAAAAAGAATTTTTGATAAAAAAAAAAGCAATTTCTCAGAGGACCGTTTAACCTTTTCGTGGTTAAGCATTTACACCGTGTCCTCCGGGGTTTATTTAGAATGAACAAGGGCTGCGCTCTTTTGGTGAAGAACGCACAGCAAAAATACATGATCTTGTTAATTTTGACGAGACTGGCCTTCTCTCAGGCTTCTTCGTCTTCTTTTGTTCACTTTTGCCGCCTTGACGAGGAAGTTGCGAAAATGTTGTCTGCCTCTGCCAAATGACAAAAGTTTCTCCAAGAAGTTGTTCGACTATATAACAGAAACAGGAAACTGAGTTCTCTTTGTTGTTCCGTTCCACCCGTGTCTCTCTCTGCGATTTTCATTCCTATCTCAAAGCATATATCTTTTTTGCTCATCCCAACCTGTTCTGTGATCGGAACCTTTGGCCTGGAAAAAAAATTTCCGTTGAATATGCAAATTTGAAGAGCAACTTTATGTGAAGGAATTAGCAAAATTTCCATGCATCAAAATATTAGACACCGTGCATTTCCATAGAAATTTAAGAGTAAAATATAATAATTAATGGTAATTATTCAAAACAGAACGTAGAAATAATACGTTTCTTAAGTTTCTTTAATATTAAAATTATAAAAAATTAAATAATATAAAACAGATTACAGATTTATTAAATAAATTTAAAATTTTATGCACACGTAATAATTTTTTTTGTCTAAATATGTTATTTTATTTTTTTTAAATAATTAATTAGTCATGTAACAATAGCACATCAGAATGATCAGAACTATTTTTCCAATTTTTTTATTTATATATTGTAACAGTTTTGAATAATTTTTAATTGAGCATTTCAAGAAAAAATTATTTTATAAATTATATTGTTAAAAAAAGCGTTTTAATAATAATAAAAAAACTCAAAATCAAATTCAATTAACAGAAGAACTCTTCTTTATCATTCTTTATTGAATATATTTTTGTAAGAAACTCCATTTTTTATTCTGATCTAAAGAGCGTTGATCTTCGTCATATTTTTGACAAAAAGCTGATTAATCTTGTGCAAACACGCGCCTCCACTTGGTAAGTCCTCCTCCAGCAATCTGCTGGCCTATTGTTGCCGCGCAGAAATAGCAAAAACGCCCGACGAATATAAAAGGACGGCGCGCGTTTGGCCGCGGCCCTCTGCTCTCTTTTATTCTCCCGCTACAAAAGCCCAATCGCATTATTTCTCCTTTTGCTGCGGGCCAAATTGTGTTTCTGCAGACAACTGAACTACTAGTCCCTGCCACTGCTGGACGGCATCATCATCATCATTTTTCGCTTGAGGAAAAGAACTTTTTTGTCACAGCATCGTTTCCAGGAGCAGTCACAAAAGATTTAAGCGCGCAGTATTTTGCCAGAACAGAAATGAAAGAACACAAAAATTTTCCGCTGTGTACTTCTGCACATGAAAAATTAAAAATACATCTATAATTATCTCCTTGTATAATAATGTGCCTCAAGCGTAGTTTTAATTTTATTTCATTTTCTATAGATTTGAGTAAGAAATTATTATTTTTCTTCAAATTTGATTATTCACCGGGATTTAATCTTTTGAAACTGATGACCAATGTTTTATTTTTGTTGGAATTTATTAAACAGAAACCACAAAATTCAAATTGACTGGAGCAAATTTAATTAAATTAAATATGTTATGTATGTAACAAGAGTATTTTAGACCAATCCGCATATCAGTGAGCTTTGTATGGTGTCGTAAGGTTTTCTGAAAAGAGCTTCACTTGTTCACCGCCTCTCACCTCATGGTCGAGCAGCGGCAGCTTGGTAACGTGGAAATCTTCGTACAAGTCGGCAATCTAAATATTCATACAGCACATTTATTGAGCGACTAATTTTTTTTATCAAAGCCTACCTGGTCCAGGTACTTGGCCTGCACCTTGCACCGGGCAGCGCAAAGTCGGCACGGTTTTTCTCCAGGCAAGGGAAACAGCAGTTGATTGACGATAATATTGTGTGTGTCGATGCCGCACTTGGTCAGCTCCTGGACCAGCCGCTCCGTCTCGTAGAGCGAAAGGAACTCGGCAATGCAAACACACACGAATGTGGTTTGGTCTGGGTTGCGGAACTGCTCATTGACCTGCTTTATGATCTCCAGCATTTCCTCCATCTTGCCTGAGAACGAATCTGGGTTGAAGTCGGCCAGACCAAGAAGGGATCCCATCTGCAAAGAAAAATTTTTTTAAATTACTTCAATCCATTCAATTAATTTTAATAACCGATTGAAATATTAATTTTGACAGAAAGAAATTAAATATGCTTAATGCGTAATTAAAAAAGATGTTACATAACATTTTAATTTTCATTTAAATTCCGGCAACAATATTTTTAATCCTCTTATATGGATCTTGTATTTCCTTTTTACCTGTGATATGAAAGGTCCCATTTTCATTTTCAACCTCAGCAACTTTCCCAATCCTTTTTCGACAACTTGTGGAAACGAGAGCAGCCGGAGTGTGTGACCAGTTGGTGCAGTGTCGAAAACAACCACAGAAAAGTTCATGCCTTTCACAAGTCTGAAATTGAAACAATTTAATTAAATATTTTAAAAGGTAATTTGAATAAAAAAAAAAATACTTCATGACTTCTGCATAGCTCATGGCCTCGTCAATTCCAGGAAAGGCGCCGACTATCTCCGACATGACGCTCTTGCTCAGACGCATTGTGTCTGATTCGCCCTCAAAATACTCATCGGGCAGTTCGTTGAACCCAACATTAGGATCAATTTCCTGAATTGACCTCAATTATATTATTATTATTTTTAACTTAGACTTTTTACCATAGCGAAGAGGTTGTCGAAGCCATTGACTTTGGTAGGGACTTTGGAGAACTTTTGATCGAAGGCGTCCGAAATGTTGTGCGCAGGGTCTGTTGATATTATCAACACGCTCTCTCGCACTTTGGAAAGCTGCACCGCCAAACTCGAGCTGCGAAATATTTTTCGAAATGCAAAAGAAAACAGGAGATGATAATTTTTCCGGTTGACGTACCTGCACGTCGTCTTTCCCACACCGCCTTTGCCACCGACGAAGATCCACCTGAGCGACGTCTGCTCTATCACGTTTCGCAAGGTTGGCTCCAGCTCTTCCATTTCCTCCAGACCCTGAGTCGCGTCTTCCTGAGCCATCTTTACTCGTTCCTGATTGTTCTGTCCTGTGTGAGTGTGTAAATTATTTACCAAACACAATTTTTATAAACATGACGAGTTTCCCCAGCTGTTGCCAGTGCTGTCAACCCTATTCAGTTTCTCATTGTTGCGTTGGCAGCACTGCCGCAATTTGCTATAAACAATAATCATGGCGTCCGCGCTTGAGCAATTTGTGAACAACGTTCGAACTCATTCTTCAAATGGCAAGTTTTTCATACATTTTCGCAAAAATAACATTGAATTTAAAATTTTGAATATATTTTTTATCGTCCTGCAACTTTAAGAGCGTGGACACTCGTTCCTTTTACGTAGAAAATCACCTTTTTATTTCCATCCATCCGCCGGCAACCACATATATTTTTCATAAATTACTTGAATATCTTTCAGGAAATTACAAAGAGCTGGCCGAGCTTCTGCCGAAATGTAGCGAGGTCCTGAGCAGAAACAGCCAGCATCTGGACAATGTCCTGGAGACGTTGAACGTCCAGCAGCACTCGCTGGGCATCCTGGCCGTTCTTGTGGCAAAACTCTCCAACACCCCTACAGCAGACCAGGCTGAGCCTCTACTCTCGCAGTTCCAGGAGTTTATCAACGATTTCAACGTGAACCAAGTGCGGTTCTCTGCCGATTTATGTACGTTAAAAAAAGATGGCAAAATATTAAATGTATATTTAGAAGCAAGTCTAAAACAATAGTGAATTTTTAAGTAGAAAATTTCCAATCTTTATTTATATTTTATATTGGATTTTTTAAATTGCAGACGCAGAGCTGTGCCACCTTTTTAGTAAATGGATGGTGCTTCGAAAGACTCCAATGAGAGGAATCGAGGTGCTCAGGAAAGCCATCAGTCGTATTCAGCAGAATAAGGCGCAGCTGACTTCTGTACATGCTGACCTCTGCCAGCTGTGCATGCTGTCCAAGTGCATGAAACCGGCCATCGAACTGCTCGACATCGACATCACCAGCATCCTGCCTGAGTTTGACCCTCCGGTCCAAGGGCACCAGTTCGATGCCGAGCACTTCCTGCGCTACTTCTACTATGGTGGGATGATCTACACTGCCGTCAAACAGTACAAGCGAGCGCTCTACTTCTTCGAAGTGGCCCTCACAACACCCTCCTTTGCAGTCTCACACATTATGCTTGAGTCCTACAAAAAGTACATCCTCGTCTCTCTCGTCCTGCACGGAAAGGTGTCTCTTAAAGCTTGCTTGTTACTTTTGTTGCTAAATTGGTAAATTTCAGGTCAACAATTTGCCAAAGTACACGTCCCAGGCAGTTTCCCGTTTCATCAAACCGCTCAGTCAACCCTATTTGGACATAGCCACTGCCTATAGCACCAACAGCATTGTTGATGTTCAGGCAGCTGTCAACAAACACAGAGAAGTTCTCGAGAGGTAAATTCTACACAAGTTTTGCAAATTGAGTTTCTAATTTTCTGTTTATTGTTTTGTCTTTTTAAGTTGAAAGTTATTTAAATCAATTGCAGCCCTTACAAATTATTTATTACTTCCTTCCAGAGACAATAACATGGGCCTTGCGAAACAAGTGTCCGCCTCTCTAACAAAGAAGAACATCCAAAGACTCACAAAAACCTTCATAACCTTGTCTCTATCGGATGTGGCGAGTCGAGTCCAGCTGGCTGGACCAGTGGAAGCTGAAAGTCTGATATTGAATATGATTGAAGATGGTGAGATTTTTGCCACCATCAACCAGAAGGATGGCATGGTTGTCTTCAAGGAAGACCCCGAGAAGTACAATAGCCCTGAAATGTTGCAGAGACTGAGAAAAGAAGTACGTATTTTTTGAAAACGTTAAAGGAAATTTACTTAAAACATTTTGCGCAGATGACTATTTGTATGGAACTGGACAGAAAAATCCAAGCCATGGAAGAGGAGATTCTGGTCAACCCTCAGTTTGTAAAAAAGGCAGGAATTGGTGCTGAAGAGGAAATTCCTCCCCCAGCCACAGCGCAGACCTCCAAAGCATCCGTCTCGGGGGTGGCAAACACATACAGCGTATAATTTTCTCACTTGTAATATATATTTTTAAGATTCTGTTGAATTAAAAGACCTCACTTAAATTGAATACATGAAACGTTATTGTTCATTTTTAACTTCCTCTTTTCTATGATTAAACAATTCCCATTTCTAAGTTTTACTATGCAAGCATGTTTGTCAACGTCAACCCTAAAGAAACAATCATAATTTTCATAATCAAATATAGAATGCGATTTATTCATTATACTTTACTCGCAAATTCATTCGTGAAATCAAAACAATAAATAATTAGGAAGCAGATATTTAATGTGTTGAAGTAATGTGGTATATTAATCCATTTAAGAAATTGTTAGCTGTGAAAAAAATGGTCAATCGCAATTTTGTTTAATTAACAAAACCATAGCCAACTAAGGAACAAAACTATTCTGTTGCGTAGATGAACAGTTTAAATCAAATTCAAATTTAGCTGGAGCCAGAACGAAGGTGTTATTCACAACACCAGGTATTTTATTGAAATGATCCATCGTGTATACAAATGATTACTTCTTGTAGCCACAGCTGCGTCTGCGACCACGAGCACGTTCGAACTTCCTTCCCTTGGACCGAACATAGGGCTTGGTGTGGCTGTGAGGAACACCAGGAGCTGGTCCAAAGTGCTTGTTCGCCTCACGGGCGGTTCTGCGACCTACAAACCAAATGCATTTTAATTTATATACTTCCAAAATCTATATTATCAAGCTTAAAAATTACAATAGAACAATAAAAAAAAAAATTAAAGATTAAAAAATGTATTACCCTGAAGAAGAACGGTGTTCTTTCCGATGGGGGCACGCAGTGCCAGCTGGTCAAAGGTCAGGATTTCACCTCCAGCCTTCAAAATGCGAGCACGGGCTCTGTCGGTCACACGGAGAGCACAGACCTAGCATACAAAACAGACTAATTAAATCACTGGTAAATTTATAATTAGGAAGTGTACTGACTGTGAGCTTAGGGATGTCAAATATCCTCTGGTCATCAGTGACTGTGCCGACGACGACGGTGATCTTGCCCTCACGACCCGGCTTCTTCATGTACCTGACAATCCTAGCGACGGACATGGGAGGTCTGTTGATTTTTGACATAAACAAACGCTTCAACACGACCTTGTTGAACTTGGAGCCCGTCCTACGCGCCAAGAAACGGTAGAGCTGAAATTTTCCTCGCGTTAGATTTCACAAATTCGGCAAAGCATCGGCCGTCGGCCAAACAAATAAATCCACGTTGGTATACCTTGACAACGAGCCGCAAGTAGACATCCTGCGATCTCGGCTCTGTCCTCACGACCTTACGGTCCCACTTGTGGTTGACGTCGATACCCTGAAACAAAGATCAGACATTCTAGTTTCTTTTTTGTCTGACCGAATTTGGAAATGTTCTCTCCAGAACGAGATGATCCCAGATTTTCGAGACAATTTCAAAATTTACACATGCTCACCATTTTTCGGGGCCCTAGGAATGGATGTAGAACTGCTACCAACGTGACGGGACTTAATTTTGCTTAAATTTCCAACCGGCTAACTTGAGGTAAGACTAAAATTTCTTTTAATTGAGAATACGATTTTAACAACGGTAAAATTAAAATTTTAATTCTATAATTTATCTTTAAAACAGAAATGCTAAAACATAAGTTAAATAAATAATAATTAATCTAATTTTTCTTTTAACTTAGCCTTTTCGTGTTGGTAGCTTTCAACTTTTCAATGCACAAAATCTGTCGGGTGCGATAAGAAACTAAAGAAACCCGCGAAATTCAAATCTTTACGTGAGTTGCATTGAAATTAAACTTCGCGGGGTAATAATTTCACTTGTAAGCCAATCCTCTGTTGCCTATGATCACGAACACTTGAATGTTGAAGAACCAAAACAAATCCATGTGAGAAGGCAAAATAATTACATAATTTATTTTCTCTCATCGCATTTTTGTACACCAGCGGAATTGTTTTACTTAACAAAGTTAAATTGCCTCTGGAGAAAGCATGAGTCTAGTCAAATTACTTCCCTATAACCTGCAACGATTCATGCGTTTGGTTCATAGAAAGGTATATGTACATAATAACGTCCAGAATTCCAAATGGAAATACTAACTCTCTTTAGCATTGTGCAATTTAAATTGCATCATAATTTTATTGTGAATGAAATGCATTTACTTAGATTAACAAGATTTTTATTTTCTGCAGGAAATGTGTTGTTTGAGAAGAGATTTGCAACCATTTTGCACCGAAGCTGTCAAAATTGAAACAAAAATTGAAAGAAAATTCAATTTTGTTGAGGAAAATGGAATTCTCAAGCGCATTAACAGGAGTACAGTAGAACAACTTGTTAAGTATGTATTTTTATTTTTATTCAAAATAATTATGCAATTGTATTAAATTATGTTTTCTGTCCTGAAGTGCTGATATTAATTTAACTTTCCTATATTTTTCGCAGTTTGTCGTTTGATTTCTATGAAGCAGAAGAATTGAAAAAATATCGCAAGGAGAATGGACCTTTTCGGAAAATCAAGGATTTATTGAATATCCCCTTGATGACTGAAGAGAAAGTTGATTCAATCTGCAATTTGATAGCAGAGGAAAATGAGGAAAAAAATGCCAAATACATTGCAAATATCCTGACGCCAAATTTTCCATCGGAAAACACTATTGTAAAAATTAAATTTCTTTAACCACAATCATTGACTGACGTAAATTTAAAATTATCAAGAAAATTCAAGACATGGTTGGCATCATTATTGGCGTTGACTGCAGCATATCCTGGGCCCACTTGACAAGAGATTGGAAACTCAACGATTGGGGACAGACGTCTTGTTTGGGGGCCAAGAAAAAATTGTCTGCCCATGAGATATTCGAGGCTGTAAGAATTTTCAAATTGAAACAAAAAAGATTAAAAAAAATATTTATCTCTCCCCTAGGTGGTCGAAGCGTGTAAAACTATCCCAGAGAGTGATATCTATCTTCTTGAAAGTCTGCCTCATCTAATGCCACAACAGGCCTACGTTCAAACATACATTGAGCGAAAAGAGGTGCAAGCTATGCTGTTGGCGCTTTTGAACAACAGACAGCCCGACAGAAATAAATTATTTTTTATGAAGTCAAAATTTCCTACAAAACTATTCAACATTAAGGTAATTTTTTTATTTTCTATTTTAAACTTCAATATAATTATGTTGTATTGAATATTTTTATTAGGTTGGAAATGAAAGGATTTCCTCAAGACCGTTGGTGACTAAATTGCTGGACGGTGAAGCTATCGGGGAAAAGAATCCAGTCAGCTTGAAAGATCTCGATCCGATGCTTTGCGAGCGATTTTTCAAACTATCAGGTGTTCAGCAAGAGGCTTACTCAAACGCCTTGATTTTATCGATGACTTTCTTCAAACTCTTAGAAGCGCGGGCTTAAATGATGGAGGTGAGTACAGAAGTGAGGAAAACAAAATTGTGATACGTTTCATTAAAGATCTGAGTTTATTCACGAGTTGATCTGATTTTAAAAATTATGCTCAATTTGTTGAGAATGGCCGCGCTTGCGTCCACAGACAGTTTTTTTCATTTTGTTTAATACTAGCTGTGGAAATTAAATTATTACAACACCGAGACGATCGAGTAGCAGGAACTTTTTCATCGTCATTTTGCCTCTTTTAGGAACAAACACGTTTGAGAAAAATGAAAAACACGAGAACAATTAATGATGGATTTCTTTAAGCACACTCTTGCAGCACAGTCTTTGATGCTTAGCACTCGCGCTTTCAATCACAAAAAAAACCAAAGGATCATTCGATTTGAGAAAAATGTCGTATACATACTTCTTCGTACTTACAAAAACTAACGAGTTAATTTGGATGAAAGACAAAAGTGGGCCAAATTTATTGCTTGGCAAAAGTGACAACGCAATTTGTGAATCAATCAATCGAGTTATACAATATCCTACTTCGCCATTGACATTATTAGAGCAGTCGTTCTTCAGCGTTTTAACAGAGTTGATTGCTTGTGACCTTAGACATTGTCTTTCGCTACATCTCTCTAAAAATAATCTCTATCGCTCTAATCTTTCAATAGTAAAATCCCAATTTGAAAGGAAATGCTTGCTTGCTTGATTTGTAATTGATTTTTTAATTGTGTATCACAATAGAAATTCAGTCTAAGATCGATCCCAATGATCCTCTTTTTACTATGTGCCGTGTGATTTGGATTTTTCTTCTTTTATTCGTTTCATTTTAGAGCAACAAACAATTTGCCGTTCGTTTCTGGGGGGAAATGCCTTCCAAAGTGAATACACAATTCCGTCTTTAACTCAAGAACAACTATTTTAAATTTTCAAAACGATCTTTTTGCACAACCGATAATTCCTAAACTTTACTGGCTGACAGCTCCCTGCATTTTTCTTTTTTAATAACTTTGAGCTTTAAAATGCATTCATTGTTAGATAACAGCTTGGAAACTCCTTTTTTTCTTGTAAATCACAGTGACAAATGAAAGTTTTTATTTTTTACCTTAAAACTGCAGGATGCTTTCTTTTTTTATACATCGTAAATCTGCTTTTACATTTTTCAACCAACGGTGTTCCGAAAGAGTTAAAACTGCACCAAGCAATATGAGGAAAGAAAATTAAAAAGCTTTGAATGTGCACCCTTAATAGGGCGTTAGTAGTGAGTTTGCTCATATTAGTAATCCTTTATCGGAGTGAGCTCTTTTGACAAAAGAACGTGCATGTTTTGGGATATTTCTTGAATTCATTTCACAGCAATTCTGTAAATATTGATCTATGAGTAGAGCTTTGAATAAAAAATTAATGTGGCTCAAATTTAAAATAAATTTGTTTTGAAAATTATTTGAACTGAGATGTAAGAAAATTACAAAAATAATTTCATACACTAGAACTGAAATGCTAAATTTTAATTGTAAAATGAATTTAAAAATTCTTCAGAGCCTGTTTAAAGGATTTTGATAATTATTTCACTTCTTTTGCCACAAAAGCGTCACTCCACACATTAAGAATATATTTCGAAGAGTTTGTGTGTGTTTGTGTTCTTTTCTTACTGGCTGACGGGGGGCAGATTGGCCGGCTGATGGTTGGTGGGCTGCTGCATGCCAAGCAGGGTCGGCTTGAAGTCTGAGGCTCCAAACTGGTGTCCCTGGTTGAAGGTGGAGGGCGCGTAGCACTGAGGGAAGTAAAGCTCGTGCTTGACGATGGGCAGCAGGCTGGGCTTGCACTCGGCTAGCAGCTTGGAGCGGCTCTTCTGCGGGTTCATGTGGTTGTCGATGTGTTTCTTGACCTCGGCCTCGGTGGAAAAGCGGCGCCGGCAGTTGGGCATCGGGCAGCAGAAGGGCCGCTCGCCCTGGTGGGTGCGCGCGTGTTGGTCCAGGATGGCCTTTTGTCGGAAGTCCTTGCCGCACTGGCCGCACTTGTAGGGCTTCTCGCCGGTGTGGATGCGCAGGTGCTGGTTGAGGATGGTGCGTTGGCGGAAGTTACGGCCGCAGTACGCGCATCCGTACGGCTTTTCGTTGGTGTGGATGCGCAAGTGCTGCGTCAGGTGGCTCTGTTGGCGGAAGCGTTTTCCGCACTCTGGACACGGGTAGGGCCGCGACTCGATGTGGACGCACCCGTGCTGCAGAAGGGTCGACTTCTGTTTGAACTCCTTCTGGCAGATGGGGCACCGGACGTACAAGGGCATCCCTCGGTTCAGTTGTTGCTGCTGTTGCTGGAGGTGTTGCTGTTGCTGCGGCAGGAGGTCAGGCAGCCGGCCGTCCTTGCCCTGCTTCAGGTACTGCAGGGCGCTCAGGTTGCCGCCAAACACCGAGTGTTGAACGCCCTTTGCGTCCTTGAAGTAGGCGCTGTACTGCTCCTCGTTGGTGCCGCCTGGGCCAAACTCGGACGACTCGTCCTTGTTGTCCGGTGGGTAGGGCACGTCCTGCGGCCACAGGGTTGGGGTGCTGCCGTTCTTGAACACCAGGTGCGGACTGACATCTGCAAACAGATCAGAGGCGATTAGTGCTTTTGGGGGCCAGGATCGAGTTTGGCAGATAAGTTTTGTTGTGCGTGAGCAGCGCGGTACACCAGCTTTAGATTTCGAATTTTATTCACATCGAGTCGGGAATTTTTTTATCTATTTCTTTTGAAAATCGATTATGAAAATTATCTATGGACTTTTGCAGCGGAGGCGGAGATGAGATTTTTTAGGCGCATATTCTAAAAAAGGAAGTGGAATTTTTGTTTATATTAATTTGTTTATTTTTTAGTTTTTAACAGCATGATACATGAGTTTCGGACCAATATTGTATTTTTAGAAGAGTAAAAAAAGTGTTAAATTTGTGTTGATGCATTTTGAATAATCAAATTAATATTTTGTTTGCTTTACTTATCGTCTATTTATAATAAAATCAGAAAGTGAAATAGATTTGTAATTCAAGTAAAGTTTCAAAATAAAAAAAAATTTTAATGCCTTTTTTTAACTTACTATTGTTTGACAATTCTAGCCATTTTTTTAGCCTTGCAGTTTTTACGTAATTTAATTCTAGTGGTATGAAAATGACAAGGGGAAAGACTGAAATTAAAGAGTTGTTCATAAACAGTAAAGAAAGTGGTTTCATAAAATGATTAATTCTTTCTTGTAGAAAATTTAAAAAAATAGATTAAGTGGGTTTTCTGTGGATATATGTATATCTTAAATGTGTCTCTTCTTGCGTTTAATAAAAAAAAATAGTCTGTGCTCATTTGTTCCGCCTGCGCTGCAGTCCGAGCGCGACAAAAAGGGCAATCGCGGTGGCGGCGGCGGAGGACCAGGCCGCCACCCCCGAGGATGCGGATGACGATGAGGGGTGTGGGTGAGCGGGGGGTGCAGGTCGGGGGCGGTGATGCTGCGTGTTCTGCTCGCCTTGATGTGTGCGGACGTGCTGGTTGAGGATGGCCTTCTGGCGGAAGTGCTTGCCGCACTCGGCACACCCGAATGGCTTCTCACCGGAGTGGATGCGCAGGTGCTGATTGAGGATGGCTCGCTGGCGGAAGGTGCGCTCGCAGTACGCGCATGAATACGGCTTCTCGTTGGCGTGGATGCGCAGGTGCTGCGTCAGGTGGCTCTGCTGACGGAATCGTTTTCCGCACTCTGGACACCCGTACGGACGCGCGTCCGTGTGGATCCGCTCGTGCTGCAGCAGCGTCGACTTCTGCTTGAAGTCCTTCCCGCACGCCTGGCACTTGAACAGCCGCAACTCGCTGCCCGGCTTGCCCTTGCCCATGTCCGGTTGACCCTGCGGCTGACCTTGACCCGGTGCTGCCTGTTGTTGGTACTCGTCGCCCAGAAGCATTCCTGCCCCGGGCTGTTTCAAATAGTGAAGCGCTCCGAAGCCACCCCCGAGCAAAGGAGGCCCCATGCCGCCTCCGTTTGTCTGGGGCGGCGGCCCTCGGGGGTAGTTGTAGGCCCCGTTGAAGGGGGTGGCCGGGGAGGAGCCACTGCTGCTTCTCTGGTCGCCGCCTCCGCCCTTATCCGCCTCAGGGACTGGCTCGGAAAAGGGCGACTGAGGCGCCGAGGAGTGTTGCTGTTGTTGGGGGACGTCCCTGGGGGCAGCTACTTGCGCCTCCTCACGGGGGCTGTAGGCAGATTCTGGCTGCGGGGGTGGTTGAGGAGGCGGCGGCTGTGAAGCGGCCGTCTGTTGCTGCTGCTGCTGGGGCAGCGCAGGCCACTGTCCGGCTCTGTCCATGCCGTCCTTGTACAGCACGTAGGGACCACCCCCATCTGAAAAGAAGAAAATTCATTTTTAATCTAATAAATCACAAGTTCTGTGGAATCAATTAATTGTTAATCCTATATATTTTGTTATTTCTCCAATAATTTGACTCGCAAAAATTACTAATTTTTTTTTTCATTTATCACCTTCAGCTTCATAACTCAAATCACGCTTTTCTTCAAGTTAGGCAAGTTTTTTTCTATGAAAAATAAGAAATAAAATATTCCATTAAATAATTGAACGGTTGAAGTTTTTACCAATATTTTGCCTTTAATAAGAACGTTTAATTTTTTTTATCTACTCTCTAATTTTTTTTTCACCAAATTTGTGAGATTATCTAGCTAAAAAATTTGTTGGAATTGAAATGAACTAATGTGAAACTGTTAAATTGCAGAGTAATAGTTCAAGACTATGAATGCAGACGGTACCCCTTTTCATGAATAAAAATGACAAACTTCTCCCATAATATATTATAGTCTATTTCCAAATTGATTTAGAACAGCCCACTGTTTGCATCTTGGTCACAAAAGAGCGACCACTGCTTTTAACGGAATAAATGTCACTTTGCATTCAGAGCGCCCATTATGTACATTATGTACCATCCAACATTCTGCTGCATCCATTGAGTCCATTCATAGAGAGTATCATGAAAACACGCATTACGAATCTGTTTTTCATAGAATTTGTCAAAAGCGTCTGAAAGTGAAAGGTGGATCAAATAATCCAGTTTCGATTCAACTTCGGCTGGAGAAAAACAAACCGTGTCTCACCTTGAGCAAAGCAGTACATGAACTGGCGAGGTAGTTTGAGGCAGGCCGCGAACGAGGCCGAGAAGTTGATGGCCGCCATGTCTCGGGGGGTGGGTTGTGGGCCGGCAGGGGCGGCGCTGCAGGGGTGCACATGCCCTGCCACCTCGGAGGCCGTGTTCGCCACACTAGCGGAATCGGCGTCTAAACCTCAGGCTGCGTTTTGCTGCAACAATTAATTCAAATGGTTATACCAAATTTTAACATTAGAATGTTCAGATAGTAAATATTAAATTTTTGATTAAATTTCTGTTTACATGATGAAGTTTTCTTATGCTAATTACGTAATTACTTTAAATTTCAGCTCAAGGGATTTGGTTTTGAAATGTTCAAACAATAATTATAAAAAAAACACATTGTAATTTACTAAGAAAACAATTATTTTATCGTTTTCTACAGAAAAACTGCACAACGTGAAAGATCTCAGATCGAAAGTACTTACAGTAAGTTTTTGAAAAAAAAATTATGAAGTTTTAACTGTTACAGTTTTTATTTACCTATGCAAAAGACATTTAAATTATAGAAATATTAAAAATAAATAAATAAAAATGCAATTTTCTTTAACTTTTTCGTTTTCAATTTATAAATAAAGATTTTTAAATTCTGGAGAAAAGTGTAACATCCGTTGCATTAAAAATAGTTATCTAATCGCTTTCTCTCCCTTTCTTCCAGCAATAATGTCTACCAAGAAACACAACAATTATTATCCGAACTAAAAGCGGCGACTTTCCTCCGACTACATAAAAACGTCGGTTATTGCTTTTCTTGCTGTAAAGAAAAAGTGAAATAATAAAACGACATTGGACTGCGTCTCGCGCGCGCGGATATTAGATTTGTTTTGTAATTGTCGCGCTGTACTGTGAACGTCTCGTGTCTTTCTTTTTTGCAATTTTCGTCTCGTCAAGCTCGGGGCGATTTATTTTTTGGGTCACTTTTTACGACGCGCGCCGAAATTGCGCACATCGGCAGTAATAATCACATCTATAGAGCGAAAAGTAATTATATTTTTCTGCTGCTTATCGCACGCGGAGCCGAAAACGTATCGTGCGTAACTTAAATGGAATTTATTTCGCGAGAGAGGGTCCACCACTCGCGCAGTGTCATTAAATTTATTGGCACTGACCAACGTTGCGCAATGTGAGGAATATTCACTCTGTCTCTCTCGGCTGGCGCTGCCTACAGACAGAAAGACAAACCAAAGTGAAACATCGAGTTACTGTGTCGTCTGCTGTGTCCGACTGACGCTCACTTTTGTGTTCAAAATTCAGCAAACAAAGTTCTGCGCAGAGAGAGAGAGCCGTGACTTTCGCACAGCGTCTTTGGCCCAAAAAGAGGAAAATTTCTGGCATAAATTTAAAAGAAAAAATACGTCCAGTTAGCCTTTGATTAATATAATTAATATAGAAGGCTTTTTAATGAGAGAAATTCGGAAGAGGGGAAAATAAAACTTATTTTTAAATCAAGTTTTTTTATATTTATGTCAGGTTCTCAATATTTGTTATAAAAATGTGTTTTTCGAAATTTAAATTATTTGAAGATTTCAAGATTTTTGCCCAAATCTTTAATTGTAAGGAATAAGAGCTTGAGTCAGAAAAAAATTGCGTTTGAAAAAATTGAAAAGTCTAACAGTCAATTAAGACAATATAATTTTAATTCACTTATGTCATGCTCGATCGTTTGACGTTATCGTATATTAAATATATTTATTTTGTTCTCCTCAACGTCAACCTTCTTGAAATTCTTTTTTAAGTAAATGGAGGCTCAAATTTGCAAAAGTTAATACAAAAATGATTCACTTTGAATTCTTGCAACTAACTGTTCAAAACAAAATTTCAAGTTTATAATGTTATTAAAATTTTGGAAGTATAAACAATTAGATGGATAGAGTTGTCTCTTTTGATCAGTGACTCACTACATTATAAATTGTTATATTGCGACTTCCACGCACACGGTTCATGTTAAATACTGTAGGTCATTGACCGAATCTGTATTTTTTCTATTAATTGAACTGTAAATAAAATAATTTTGAACAACAAATTTCAATGCAAAATCATTTTTAAATCTGGAGAACAAATTCAAGAGCATTTTAATAATAATAAAAAGTTCTTTAAATAAATTATTGTAGAATGAAAAAGAGAATTGTGAAACTTGATGTTGAAAACGCAGTGGTTCCCGTCGGCGAACTTAAAATTGCTCTTTCTCTCTCTTTCGCTCTGGCCGTCTGGCATGCGGCATTGATTTTCTCGCCGCGGCTCCTTTGCATCGCCGCGAACACGGCGCGTCTGGCTCGCTTTCGCGGCGTCTGCCCGCTTTTTTGGGCTTCGGAATCGCCGAAAAATGGCAAAATCCGGCCTGTGCGAAAGTCTGGGCCACTGACAAGTGGTCTTTGGGCCCAAAACGGGCAAATTCAAAGAAGGCGAGTCTGGGTCGGGCGCGAAGGCGGCGGGCAGGCGGGCGGGAGGGGGCGAGACCCAGGCGAGACGGAGATCAGACGGCCAGGCCAGACCAACGCGGAATGAAAAAATTAAAAAAATCCGGTTCGGCCAAAAAATAAATAGAAAACTCACCGTGGTGTCGGCGACGTCGGCCGCACTACATCTTGCACCTCACTCGCGCCGAAAATAATTACAAAAAAATTTTTTTGACGTAATTTAAATTTTCGGAGGAAATCGATCAGTTTTCACTCTTGCAAGAAAAATAAATAAATGATTCGGACAAGTGAATTAGTGTTGTTCAGCAGCAGCACTTTGGCGTGCAAGAGGCTCCGACCTCATGTTCACCACGAAGCAAAATAGACTCTGCTGGCTGCTCCGGTGCCGCCGTCGCGGCCGCCACTCGCGCGCGCGGCTCGACTGCGCAATGTTGTCGCTCTTACCCTCTCGTCTCTCTCTCTCTCTCTTTCGGTCGCTGGGCCGGCGAGTCGTGTGTGTGTGTTCTCCACCTCTCGCTGAATATGTGACCTCGACAATCGCAACCCTTTTTACTTCTCGCTAAGAGCGCCGCGCGCGCGACGACCAACTAATTACCTGCGCCGCGCGCACATATGTATACTTTATTGGAATTTGCATAGACGCACTCACAATTTCGCCGAAACACATTCGCTGCACCACCAATCGCGAAGCGCACCCCACTGTCCGAATTCGCGATTGGAGCAGACAGACAAGTTGCTCAAAGGGTTGAAACTCCAATGAATAAAAAAAGTAACGGAAAGTTTGGATCGAATGTATTTAAAACTTTATTTGTAATCAGCTTTTTATATTGACATACCAGTCCTAACAATGAAATAGTTTTGATTAAAAAAAACGCAATTTAATTTAATTCATTTGGGGGATCTTTAAATTTAAGTTTTTTTAAGGAGAAGTTCGCACGTTTTTGCATAGTGTGTTTGCCATTATCTGGTAAAAAATTGGAGAAATGACTCTATAGCAACGTTAAATGTTAAATTTATTGCAAACTTTAATTTATTTTTGTTGTTGTTATAATTAAAATGGACATAAATTTAATTAATTTCAATTCATTTAAGTAAGATGAGGTATTGCAATGTAAACGGCTAAATCTTTTAAATCCTTTTATTAAGCACGGTAGTATTTGAAATTACAATTAATTTCAAAAATTTTTTGATCTTAGGTAAAAGTACATCATGATTCATGAATTTCTTTTTGAAAACCTAAAATTTTACTCGTTTTATTTATTTGTTCTTTTAAAATTGTTGCAACATATTTTATCTTGTAAAAATACTGAAAAACAATTTCATTTATTCTTAATTATATTTTTACACTTTCTTGACCTCGCTGATATAGAAGAAATTAAAGAATCTTATCTTTATTTGCTTTTACAACTATAATTTATCAAAACAAATTATTTGAATGAATATTCAATTGAAATTACCTTTTAAATTAATACGATATTTTCGCAGATGGAACATTTTTTCTGGAAATTATTTTTTAGAGAATGATTTTTTTAAAAGATCAATTTTTAATTCAATCCAAAGCTTTTCATTTAATTTTTATGTAATATCTAAAAGTCAAAAAGGCCAACTTTTCTTAAAGACGACCTCTGATAATAGCTGTCATCTCTTTAAAACCGCTTTCTTAGTCTCATTTTCTTTATTTAGCGCCAACGTTTTTCTTTTTCGGTCGCATGGCCAATCAATGGGGAGGCTCGCGGAATGACAGGCAGAAAAAATCACGTAGCAGATTTCTTTCTTCGATATATAAGTCGGTTGGTCCATCAATCGGGCCGACGCGATCGATGATCGTATAACGAACTTTTTTCCAGGCCGGCATTTTTCTCGATTACTCGTTTTTTTTTCGCGCTTGTTATTTATCGGCGTGAATGGCTAATGAATTGAATGAAATTTTTTCCAGCAGCTCTCCAGCCGTTGGTAATGAACGCACTTGGTCCATAATGTTTACTGCGATCAATTTTTTCCCAGGGTGTCCAGTGTGTGATTCCAGTTCCAGCGCCTCTCTTTCTTTCTTTCTTTCATCGACGACCAGAGCTGGTCTCTCTCATTTATAATCCCGCGAGCGCGCAAAAGTGGTCAGGCAGCTCCTCCGCTCCTCCAGGCAGCGCGAGCGAGATGACACACTACTGCAGGGATGCTGCGCTGCTGGAGCTGCTGGAAATGCACAATGCCCCGCTCTCGCTCGGACGCGCGGACTTGTCTGTCGGCCGACGACATTCCTCGCGGGCGCAGACGCGCGTGCGGCTTTTTGTTCTAATCGCCGCCAATTGAAATCGGCACCAAGCGTGATTATTGATAAGACAAGTTATTGAAAATACATAAGAACATAAAATAAATTTAGTTGGTATATATTTAAATGAAATGCCATTGAATTCATTAACGCTCCAAAACAAAATATGTTAGAGAAATCAAGACATTTAAAAATATAATAAATAGCTTAATTAAAATGTGTGAAATATAACAAAAATGTACATAATTAATTACAAGTTATTGATATTCAACAAAGACCTTTGCTTTTGAACGTAACATTTGTTATGGTGGTAAATAAAAGAGTTTATAATTTAGCTCTGATATAATATAATATTACAGCATTTTAAAATATATGAAAAGAAATGGATACTTGAGAAGACGTTCATGAATTGAAAAATAAAGCTTTTTCTTCATTAATCACGGACCAGTTTTGGTCAAGGTATCTGCAAAACTATTTCTCGGAGCAAGAAAAAATGCTGCAAAATTTAATTGCATAATAATATATAAAAATAATTGTGGAAAATATTTATTAATTTGATGTTTAACAAGATTTAAAACTTAAAATTAAATAAATTCCAATAAATTGTTTGGGAAAGAAAATAATGAAATGAAAAAAATTATCTCTTCACTAAAGATAAAGCATTTCATTTTTCACTTCATCAATACAAATCTATTTCAATATAAAATTTTTTACGTTAATTTTATTTTTGCATTTTTTCCGCAACAAATTTTGTAAAGGAATTAAGAAATATTAATTTTATTATATTTCATTGTAACAAAAGAAAAGCATTGTGGATTAGATCTTGATATTTATAATTTTTGGTAAATTGCATTTTTTTTTTCATAAAAGTTATAAGCGTTCTAAAGATTTTTACTTTGGTATGTAAATTATTGAGTACAAATAATATTCACTTTTTTGGACCAAAAAGTCATAATTTTTTAAAGAATTGCTAACTTTTTGAGAATATATATATATATATATTTTTTTTTTAAATCTAGAAAGTTGATTTTATTCTTCAATTTTTAAATTTCAAGTTTAATTTTGGTACTTAAAAGCATGAAAATGAAAAAATTCAGTACAGCAACTCTTCTGCAATGATTATTGCTTTCTCCCTGTCTCTTCATGGGAAATCTGCACAAAAAGAATTAAAAAAAGCAGAAGAAGAATATTCTTTTTGGTTTTGTGAATTGGCATTCCCAGGCATCAGCCTTTTGATCAGATTTTTCTCACAGCAAATAATCTGAATAAAAATAAACAAAAATCACAACCTCCCGAAATAGGTTTATTCTTGTTCATTTTTTGCAATCGAATTTTTCTCATCGGGAATCTTTGCTGCAGCCTCGATTTAAAAGGACTGCGAATTTTGCACGCACACCTTTGTTCTCACTCGCTCTCTCGATTTTCATTTTTATTGCACTCGCACAAAGCGCAGAGAACACAGAAAACTGGTCGCCAAAACAAAATTAAAAAACCGAAATTATTTGCATAATGGATGTCCAGCGTGCGCAGCGCATCTTCACTCTCCTCCTTTTTTGCATCTTGACGCGGTCATCATCAATTCCAGTTCTTAACTCGCTGGAGAAAAACGAGCAAAACTTCTCCAGACCGCTCCAGCGGGATGCGACGAGTCGGAAAAAAGAGCAAAAATTTTGAGGCCGTTAAAAAATCGCACACCGGCATCGCGGCCGGGTTTCCGGTTCACGGCACTCGGTGAAAAATTTTTCTTGTACTTTTTTTTATTTGCTCGTGTTTTGGAAACCTGTTTAATCTGTGGGGGTATTTCGCATTTTCCAACCGACGCATTTTATTTTTGATCATCGGAAGAGAGGACCAACCAGTGAACGGTACTCAAAGTGTGTTTTATATTGGACAAGAGAAATAAAAAGGTGTCCGTTGACGCACTAGACAACAAGTCACGCATCGATATTTGATTACACCTAAGTAAATTCTTCATGTAAAACTAGAATAAATTAATTATAATTTATAAAGGAAAAAAATTATTAACATGATAATTTTCAAAATAATCATTTTTAAGCAATATTGCAGGTTGCTTGATCTTTATTATGAATAAATTATTTTCAATTTGCAATAAACCCTTCCTTATAAACGTTTTAGTAGGATTTATTTACAGTTTTGTTCCTACTTTCCCTGTCTCATGGCTGAATTAAAAAAATTATCATAGAAATTAAAATTAAAAATAAAATTGAATCACTTTGAACTTTCTTTATGGTTGAAATTTTTTTTAGTTTAATAAACTAAAAAAAATTTCGAGCCTTACTTAGTGGGTTATTGGAAAAATATCTTCCTAATTTTTTGCCTTTTTTATTTCCATGGTTACCTGAGCTTCAATGCAAGAAATTTTTTAAAAATTGTTTTTATGGTTTTTTTTCTAAATTTCATCCCCATCGAGCATTTTCATCTTCAATAAACATTCCCTTAGTTTTTTTTTAATATCTTAAAATTCTTAATTATTTTTCAAATCCAATATTTAATATAATTTGTTGACATCGATTAATTTAAAAAAAAGGAACATACGGAATTGCTGCGAAAGCGTGAGACTCGGTTGCCCTTCGCTTTATATCAGTATTGATCGCGCATGAGTTGAATTGTGCGTCTTGCGAGAATAAAACGCGAATGGTTCGTCTGGCCGGGCGAGCGCCGCTGCCGCCGCACTCCACTTCTTTCTTTCCCGATTCTGAAAATAAGAAAGTCCCAATTTTTCAAAAATTCCCTGAAATTCTCCATCGATCCGAGGAATCTCCGAGTCGCTCTGGTCGCAACCTTGGGCGCGCGCGAAAAAAAGCGCCAGCGTAAGAAGCAATTCCCTTCCGGGTCTCCTTTCACGCGGTGCGCACCGAGACCTTGGCGTGGGGCGCAAAAGCAACGCTCGCAGCAAAAAGTGCGCCGCCGAAATTTGCAGGTCGCGTAGAAATTTCGCCGGCACCGCAGCTTATGCAATCCGCAAGACCGGCGAGTGCGGCGCGCGCGATGCGTTACATACACTGCAGGGGCGCCGCAAAGCCGTCTGCAATAACAAACGGGATACGGCGCAGGCACCAAACGCACAGACGAAACAAAAATCGCCACCGCCGATGGCAGCTGACCCGTCACACTCGGTTTAATTAACCTCGATGTGAATCCTATCAATTTCATTTTAAACTCTTTTCTATATGAAAATAAAATAATTCAGATTATAATTGTCATTGTCTCATTTTTATTTTTATTTAAATTAATTAAAAAGGTAAAAAGCAAAACAGCAAGTTTATTTTTTTATTTTAAAATCAAAACTTGGATTATTTTCAGGAAAATTAGTGTTTTAATTACCAAAAGCGTGAATATTGTTAATTCTGGTTTAACTCTTTTGTTTATTATCTTTTCAGTTTTATACTTTTTGAAATTTTGTTGCATTTTCCTTTGGTTTTTTTGTTTTTAGATCAAAGTTCAACGGCAAGCACTTGCCGTTCTATTTTTCAGTTCAGTATTTTCCAAATCGTGTGTGTCAAAAACTTTGCTTTAGTGTTTAAAATTTTTTTTAAATTTGCCGTTTTGTAAGTATGATTTTTTTTACTCAAGACTTTTCTGCTATGGCCAAATTTTAGATATTTATTTGTATATTAAAATATTCAGCTAATCACATTTTAGCATAATTTTATTGAATTATAAATGGAATTAATTAATTATACTTTCTTTGTGCAGTCTCAAAATTTTACTTTTAAGCTACCGTTCTTAAATAACCTCGGTGCATCACGCGGTTCCGCTTTATAAACGACTTTGCCACTTTGCCGCCTTGAGCTTATTTATAGAACAAAAAATACAGGCAAAAGTTGATCTACTACTTTGATCACTGGTTTCCTCAGAATATGAGAGCGCTCTACTATGTCGATTATTCAGTCTACTCTGGCTTATTTCATTCTTTACCAAACTGTAATTGCATGGCAGCATGGCAGTTTATTTTTATGAGAAATACTAGGTGAATGTAAATAAATATATTTTATTTTATTACTTTTTTCAAGTTCATTGAAATTTTTATGGTACTTACTTTATTTATATAATTAATTGAATTAATAATAAATTTCAATGTCAATCAACTTCTTTTTAATTAAATTTAAATTTACACAGTGCTTTTGAATACCAATTTGGAACGATTGATACCAGTTTTTTTAAATCTAAATTTAGAAACTGAATTGTCTGAAGTGAACAAATGAAACAGGAATTGAATGTAAAAGTGAATATTTAGAGGCATCGGACACACACGCAGCCACTGAATAAATTATGCGTTTTGTTGTTTCTCTTTGTTCGCATTGCATCAATATTAAAGCGGCGTTTGTTGTAAGTACTGCTGAGCGAATAATAAAAATAAAAAAAACCGAGTGGCGTTTTCATTCAGCACGCAGAATTGGCGTTCGTTTTACTTCTCGCTCTCTCGCAGATTATTTTCGACTGATGTCATCAGCCAGTACGCGCGGCCCGAGAGTGTATATTATTCACTCGAAGAGCGAGAGACTAAATAAAAGGGAGTCGGGCATCACTCTGTTTGCAGAACGAGCGGGCGCTAGTGGGTGTTGTCAAGGATCACCGATGACAATTAATTTATCTCTTAGTCCGCAGTCGGAGATCATCCTTAAAATCCCATAAATTACCACCTACATCATCTCTCATAAAATTAATGCAAATTTTAAATTAATGAGAAAATTCTAAGTGCTGCAGAAACATTCTGATTTACATGACGAGGATGCTCTTTAATTTTTAAATTTGAACTAGAAACAGATTTTAACATTAACCAAAGTACATTTATAATTATCAGACAAAGGAACCATGAAAATAAACGGTGTTATTTAGAGACAAAAATGACTGAAACTGTTCCGTCAGAAGTTTAAAAGCACATTCCATATCAAAAGAATCAGTATAAAATGAGTATGTACTATTTTGCACAAATTTTTAGCTTGTTCTTATTCAATTATTTTGAAGACAAATTTGACCAAAATTCTAATTTAGCAATCCGACCAAATTTTCTCTCATGCCCAAATGACTAATTGGCTTGCTAGAATGGAAAATGAATTATTTTTGTCTTTATGAAAGGAAGTAAATAATTCAAATTTTAAATCAACTTAATTAAAATTACATATATTTCAAAACAATTATTGTTAAAAAAAAATGTTATATATGTCCATTTCCCCCAATATTTTGATATTTATACACCTCACTCCTTTAAAAATCACTACCTTAGTTATTTACAAAAATTAATTATAATCCAATTAATCTGACCCTCAAAATAAAAATGAAATTCAAACGAAGCAACGAACACCCAAAAGATAGCGTACTTAAAAATAAGTGCTTTTATCTGTATTTGTCAATGTTATTTGCAGAAAGTTTTTTAAAAAGAATTACCTGTTAGGCTGCGTATGTATATGTGTGACACACTGTTTGCATTTTGCAGGAGGGCGCCGCGAGTATTGATCTCCTCTGTTGGTCCGTGCAAGTGGTTGTTGCTCGTCGAAGGAAGGTGTACAAACGCGAGTGGTGAGTGTTGGTGGTGTGCATTGGGCGAAAAGACCGAAAGTGTCGTTAGCGTCTCGTGCACACTCTGGTCGCGTATTATGCAGATTCGATGGAAAAACAAGGAGTCGTAGTCGTTGGCCATGCAGCGCGCGGGGCCGATCGCGAGGCAGGTGCAATTCGCGGCGGCCACGCTCCGACGCCCTGTCAATTTCCAACCTTGCACTTGGAGCGCGGACACCTAAAAAAATAAACAAATAAAATGCTAATAGAGAAAGAGATACCACGACTCACTTCATTTCGTCCTTTTTGTGCACCCATTGTTTCATTTCAACTATTAACAGGTGATAAAACCGATTGAATTAAAAACAAAATAATGGATAATACGTTTTGGTAATTTCAAATAGCTAAATAAAATTAGAAATTTTGACAAAATTATGATAATCAACAAAAATCTCCACTATTTTCTCATAAGTATCATAATAATTGAAAATTTATTTCAAAACTATATCTGCAATCGTCCTTCTTATTTAAATATAGCTAAATAACGTAACTTAAATCTGAACCTTTAGTTATATTGATTCTCAAATTAAAAACAAATTTCAATTTGATTAAATTTAAGAAATTATGAGTAATCTCTATTATATACTTTCAAAAATTTGATATTTATTACAGGTACTGGCGCTATACATTTTATTTACATAAATATCATTATCAGTCACCGTTAAAATTGAGCAATGTGTGCAAGTATGCAAAAAAAATTATTGAGCGGAGAAAAGTGAGTTTGATTGCATATTTGACCCATATTTAATAATGAGTAGTTTTGACTACAACAAACAAATAATTTGACTTTCTTATTGTTATAGAAGCCCTTAAAAAATTTAAATCAATGTCCAAATATTTATCTGAAACTTAATAATAGCAACCATGATTAAATCTTTTCATTGTTGCGACTTTGAATTTCGTGGTTGTAAGAAGTCTTTTGTTGTGGAATTTCTCGAGAAAAAAATGATCAAATATCTGCGGTCTGTACTTACGTCGATTTTAAGCAACCCAGAAGTACAGGAGGCCCTTCATAACCTGAAAGTGGCCAAGGACGCCGAGATGAAGGTGTTGAAGAACGCGGCGAGCGAGTGGTGGAAGGACCAGGAGGACCTAAGGTTGCACAAAGAGAAGGAGGCGCTGCAGAAGCCGGAGGACGGTGCCCAGAAGCCCACGGTCGAGGTCAAGATGAACAGGATGAAGATTAGTTCTCGAGCACCAATTAACTGTCAAAACACGTATTTGCATAATTTTAAAACGCTTGTCAATGGTTACTTGTTTTTATAATTAAAGTTTCTTAATTAATGTAGTTATTTTCATCGGCTAATTTTTATTTTGCTTAGTTTAATTAGTTTGTAAAGTTGAGAGCAGGTTGAGAGCTTGATTTTGTTTGAAAAGTCAAAAGTTGGGTTCTCTCTAATTGAATAAATGAAGTGTGCGGGAGTAAATAATATGAAAAAAATCTGCACAAATTTTATTTTGGTCTGAAGTTGTCAGGACCTTTTGAGAAATACATTTGACAAACGACCACGATAATTTTATATTTAAATAATAACCTAAATATTTAAATTAGACAATTAAAATTTGTCATTTGCTTAAGTCCTGTTTTGAAATTAATAAGCGCTTAATTTTATTCTCATAACAAAAAATCTCACATTAATGATTCCATGAATATATCTTTCAGAAAGTGAATAATAAATTAATGTATTAATTTTTTTATAAAACTGTGCAACTCGAAAGATTATGTTGGGAAAATATGCATATTACATCGCATTTTTTTTTTTTTTTGTAATTTGTTAGTTTTTAATATAATTAGATGATTGCATTTGGGTAGGAAAGGCTTCAAAAATTTATTTTGTGCACCATTCAATTTCATTGGCAAACTTTTACTTAACTTTTTGGCAGTATTCAAAAAACATCTGTAGCTTATCTGCAATTTTTTGTAAAATAAAATTCGCGTGACAAAATGAATTAATGAAAACTAGGAGCCGTCAAAGTGTCCACTTGAAAACCGTTTGATTGATTTAAGAGACCCCGCTAGCGAATTATCGCTTTTTTCGCACACACGCCAGCTACTGAATTCGCAGTTTCCACAGAGTATGGTGTAGCTGGTGCAGGTTTTCCTTGGCTCGCCTCGGAAAAATGGTCCAAGATATTTTTCACCGCCATATTTCACTGGGTGTTATTTTTTCTCACACACACCGAGGCTGCCGCCGCCGCTGGAGCTGCTTTCATCTCTCTCGCCATTTATCTCTCCGCGCTATTTTCCATCCTAAAAAAGCAGCAGCCGTTCCGTTGAACCAATATTTTTCTTCGTTCAGCCCAAAGACCTAACAAAAACACGGCGCGCGCGCGCTCGATTCGCTCGGCACACGATGGAAATTGAAAATAATAATACACCGCGAAAAAACACACTCTTCTTTTATTAATTGAGATTTTTTTTTTAAATTTTTGAAAAATAATTGAAAATCAGTATTTTATTTTTAATTAAAAAACGAAAATGCAAATGCGTTCGGCGGCTTTGGCGGCGGGGCAGATATAAATCTGGCTGCGGAACTTGCAATGATGCTGGACCGAGCAAAAAATGTTTTATCTCTGTGCTGCTCTGCCAAGGTCGGAGTGCTGAGCACCGAGTTTCCTTGGGCGCCAATCCTCCTCGCCGCGACCATGTGAAAAGAAGAAGTGAGCTGCACAACTACATACACACGTACCACATACTCAAGCGCACACAGACTCCATTCTTCTGTCGATACACTACATATATGTATTCGCCAGAGATGGATGGGTGCGAAAACAAAATCATTTTTCATCGAATAGGCTCTTTTGATAAGAATCCGAAGTGGACATTGATAATTTTTTAACTGTCAGATTTTATTAAAAAAAATAAATGATATTAAAATAAAATTTTTTCAATTTTCTGTAAAAGATTCATTTTATTTGGAGAAATTTTTAAATAGTAATTCAGCGCGATGAGAGTAATTGCGATTTTGATAAATAAAAACAGGCATCATTCTTTGGCGAACTCGTTTTCTCCAAAGACCGGTCTTGCAAACTTTTACTTCAAGTGCGCAAACTACACGACCATCTACCGGAGTAATTGCACACGAGCTTGCGATTGCTAGTGAATTCCGCTACCTGCAGATGGTACAGCTTTACAGGGGCAATTTTTTTAATTTGATTTTTATATTTTATTATTATTTAATTAATGCAGAAAAATATACACATTCCACATTAGGAAAAATAACAAATTCAAATTATTCTCAGAAAATTAAATTTTTTTTATTAATTTAGTACCTTTTGACTAATCGCCTTTTAAGTGTTATTACGTTTCAAAGAACACGAAATATTTGAGACAAAACCAGTGTTAAAAAGTTAGAAAAGTGCTTTTGTGATAATAAAAAATATTAATTGAGGGCAAAAGCCATGGCACCCCAATCTGTCTGCGAGAAGAAGTTGATTTGCTCAGCGCACAAACATGATATAATGACTGCTTCTCAGTTCTCAGCAACCTGCAGAGGGCGAAAAAGAGAGAGCTTCGCGACCTTCGCCAGCAAACCTCCCCCTCGTCGGAATCTTTCTACCTTTTTTGCCACTAATTGTAAGTAAATATTAAATGTCTCATCTCAAGAAAAACAGGAATTTTATAACTTTTTACACTTGTTTTGAGGAGGCACTTAAATAATGTGCACAATATTTATGCTATAGGGACCGTTCATGAATGATTGACCGCGAATTGGCCTAAATTTTTGGTTCACAATGCCATTCTGTAATCAAAGTATGTTGTTCGGGTTGATAAGAGGGTCCTCTGACTAAAATTTGAAATCAAAATTTTGAATACTTTTTTTGGAATTCGGGTTTTTTGAAAAAGTCAAAATTGCAAATATCTTTGCTTCTAGTGGGAATTTTTATCTGTTCTCTTCACTTCCTGGCGTAACTTTTTATTTTGAACAACTTTTCTGTTGATCATTTTTGCGTAGGTCAAAGGTCAAGGTCACTAAAATTGAAATTTAATTTTTAAGTCGATTTTTCTCAAAAAAGTATATTTTTGATATTTTTTGTGTAAATGCAAAAAATGTAGCTCATGAAATTTTGCTTCTGGTGGGTGATTTTCAGAATGGCATTATTTTTAGTTTTTCTGCAATTCTTGTCCGAAGATCGAAAAACGCGTTTTTTTCGATACTTGGCATTGGCAAACTTTGGTATATTTGGGAATATTTTCAAAATCTGTAAAAAAAAATACTAGGAGAAACCTCATAGACCATAAATTGTCAGAAATATTTCTTAATATCGCTAAAATACCAAAGTTCGCCAATGCCGAGTATCGAAAAAAACGCGTTTTTCGATCTTCGGACAAGAATAACAGAAAAACTAAAAATAATGCCATTCTGAAAATCACCCACCAGAAGCAGAATTTTATGAGCTACATTTTTTGCATTTACACAAAAAATATCAAAAATACACTTTTTTGAGAAAAATCGACTTAAAAATTAAATTTAAATTTTAGTGACCTTGACCTTTGACCTACGCAAAAATGGTCAACAAAAAAGTTGTTCAGAATAAAAAGTTACGCCAGGAAGTGAAGAGAGCAGATAAAAATTCCCACTAGAAGCAAAGATATTTGCAATTTTGACTTTTTCAAAAAACCCGAATTCCAAAAAAAGTATTCAAAATTTTGATTTCAAATTTTAGTCAGAGGACCCTCTTATCAACCCGAACAACATACTTTGATTACAGAATGGCATTGTGAACCAAAAATTTAGGCCAATTCGCGGTCAATCATTCATGAACCGTCCCTATAATCAGATGCAGAGCCGTTCGTTCTTGTAGAAAATATGGAAAATATTTCACATGCCAAACTAATCACGACTTGCATTTTGAGTCGGTCCACAGCGCTCTTGAGAATAGTGTGAAAAAATTTAGTTGCCCAAAGTGCAGTTACAGTTTTTATTATAAATTATTGTGTACATTTTTGTAGTCTGAGTTGCAAGAAACGAAGAGGTTTTCGCTTGTAATTGCAAAAAAAAACTTGTAAAGTATTAAATAATAAAGTTCATGATTCATGAAATGAATCCTTTGTAAATTTGATTAGAAAAAAATAATTCTTAGCTATATAGATAAGGATTACGTTCGGCGCCACTGGCCGCAAAAGTTTTGTTCGCGAGTCATACAACTTCCTGGATGGAGGCGCTGCAATCATGGCTGCCGGCAGCCATGTTGGTTTTCAGCCAGTCACCCCAATGCAAAGTTCAAGGAAGAGACATCGAATTTTCACCGAGCTAATTTTGCGTTAAAATGAGGGTCTAAGACCACCCAACCGCACACCCCGTGTGCCCGTCACACTTTGCATCATGACGTAAGTCTCAACACTAATTTCAACCGCTAATCTTTCAGAAATCGGCTGAAAATCGGCCAAATAAAACCGAGAGAAATCGACGTTGGCTGGAGGCAGGTCCCTTTCTCCCATTGACTGCAATAGTGGATGACGCAATCGCCCCAAACTGCAATTAATGACTCATTGTCCCGCCAGTGTTACGTCCGTGGTTGTTGATAATGCTCGACTTGTTCCGTTATAGCCAAAATTTACCCTTTTTTCAATTTCCAGTCTTCTGTGTAGCAAATGAAATTGCTTTTATCTCGGTTTTAACAAACTTTGTACCCAAACAAGCAGCAGATAAGTTCGTGCTCTACGAACATTTCGAAATAAGAAATCTAAACCTTCAGGGCAGTTGTAAACAAAAATATTAAGAACATGTATTTTTTTTAAATTTCTGAATAAGTTGCTTCGTTTGCGTTTTTTTTCCCTTCAAGAAAATTTGATTTGAAGAGGAGGCTGCGAAAAGGAGGCCAAGTTAGCTGTTCTTCGGTTTTTAGAGCTTGAAATATGTGGGACGAGCTGTTTAAGGAGTAATTTTCTGCCTGCCCTGAGGAGAGATCTCAATTTGAGCAACCAAACAATTAACTGAATAATAAAAAGAAATCGGAAATTATTTTAGAATTTCATAGCCTGAGAATATTTTTTTTTATCACCAAACTATAATATTCTTTTAATAATAAGATAGCAAGAATCTTGAAATTGATTAACATAAAATTGTAAATTTATAAAAAATGAATAATTGATTTTAATTTTTGTTTCAGTTTTTCGTACGTCAAGATGGGGTCCTCCCCTGTATTCACAACCAGCAACAAAGCAACAAACTTTGACAAAGAAACCAACACTTACGATTCGATTATTGGCCTGAACCTGATCACCATCAACAATGCTGATGAACACGTACAGGCTAGTTTTGGTGGGTCTGCCCACCTCGGACGCCTCCGCTACTGATGCCATCCCCATCCGATGGCAGCTGCAAGGAGGCGACAATGAGACCATCGTCGCCCTGGTCCCGGACAAAGTCCAGGAGATCAAGAATGAGGAGGCCGCAGAGGAGAGTGCGGCCGACAGGGCTCGCCGAATGCTTGAAGAACTAGAGCAGGAGGGCGCTGCTCTTGAGGGTGAGATTTTCTTATTTTATTTAATATCTTTCTGCTCTATGGCAATTTAAAAATATAAAAGATTGTTAAACGTGAATCTCTTCATAAATTTAATAATGGACTTTCTTCAGAGAAAATCATTTTTGAATCAATCTACTAAAAATTTCTTAAATTATGAAACTGAAATGGTTGATTAAAATTTTCTTGAATTTTTTACTCATTAACATTTGAGGTTAACATTTTCTAAAAAGAAAAAAAAATGCCTATATTTAGAGAAAATATCAACCAAATTTTGAAGCGTGAGGTTAGATTTTCCTATCTCTTTTTCATTTGACATATTTGTAAAATATTACTGGGCAATTTTTTAAGCAATTATGTAACATATTTTTTGGAAATAATTATTTGTTATTTTTAAATAACCATTTGAAATACGCTCTGAAACGAGTAACATTAAATGCTGTCTGCATGCAAAAGTGAATTTTTGCAAATTCCGAGCTAAAGTTGCGGCGCAAAAGTCTTTGCATGTCCAAAGAGGAAGAATGTAAATCGCAAAAATTAACAAAATTATTTAATTGCTCGTAATTATTTCTTGCTTCCGAGCGAAAATTTTGCATAATTTTGACCTCAGCCGACATGCGGTTGGCCGTTTAAAAATAGATCTCATCAACTCGGCGGCGGCGGCGAACTTGTTGAACTTCTGCGAATCCGGAGCACCGTGATGAATTCGGGCGACGTCTCGTTCCAGCGTCTGCTCGCTATAGACTTTCACCTGCGGCTTGAATCGGTTACAAGTTAAATGCGCAGTAATTTTAACGCCATGTCGAAACATTATCGCCACGGATTAATACTGCTTATAATGTGTGTTCAACCTGCATGCGGAAAAAAACTAATTTAAATGCGCTCGGCGCTTGAGTGAAAGTTGTTTTGAGTCGTGTAGATAATTTTATTAGAATTTTGGCTCTTTTTTGATATTATTAATATTTATTCTTCTCTAAAATACAAAAATGTCAAACTCAAAAAAAATTTTAGGATAATATTCGATTCAAATTAAAACAAAATCTAATCCAAATTTACTTTTGAAAATCTTTTTATAAATAAAATTCTAACTTTTAAATCATTTTGTTTTTATTATAAATTTCAAGTTGAATGAAAATATTAAAATTCATGAATAATTCTAAAATTATTTAGAATTATTTAGTTTGTTAAATTTACAATTTTATATTTTACTGCAAATAAGCTTAAATCTTGTAAATAATTAATTTGTTGTAATGATTATAAAAAGAGTCACTTGGTCCACACGTGTCTGCGCATTTATTTGGAGTGGTCACTCGCGACCCGCGTGCTCACCGCGTTGCCCCTCCACTTTGGCTTGCTGTTGGCAAAAGAGAGTGTGGTCCACGCCGCACTCAGTCGTTTGTGATGGAGACTTGAGGCCGCACGCTCTCGCCAGGTCGTCCTCCCAGTTAGTTGTCAGTCGCCCACCCAGCAATGGTGTCCGAGTACCTCTTCACCTGGATCAGGGAGATTATTGTGAACGCAGAGAAACTGGTCAACAGACGAGTCTGAGATGGCCTGGCCCTGCCGCCCCTTTGGTGAGAGAGAGACTTTTTAAAACGAGTCCCGGACCAAGGTCGTCATGGCCGCGACCTTCGAGAACCAACAATAAAAATAAAAAAACAGATCGAAACCTGCGTGCGAATCCATAGGGATTTCCTACGCGGAAAGAAAACGCAAGTTCAGGGCAACGATCTCGCGCAAAACAAGTTTTTAGTTTATGACCAGGATTATCTTAACTTACCTAGGGTTTCCCTGTCTGCAGCAAGGTTACTTTCCTCCTTAAAAAGTTACTTCTGGTTCAAAAGTAAATAAATTGTATAAATTATTAAAACTTCCAATTTTTGAGGTTATGATAAATACTCCATCTTGAACTTTGTAACGATTTTAATTTATTCATTTCTGGTTTGAAGCAAATCACAATCATAAATCAAGGTTTCCTTGCGACGTTAAATTATTGGTTGCGCAACAAGATCATACCAGGAATTAAACGATTCAATGCCACTTGGCCCAGAATATCGAGTTTATCTCATTCTCCGTGAACCCGCTAACCTCTCTGTATTTGGAAAAAATTACAAGTTTTTATTTTCAAATAATCGTAGAGATTTGTGCCCATTGTTGATTTCCGCTTGAGTAGGCAGACATGTAAATAGTAAGAAGTAGTTTCACGTGGGGCGAGAGAACGACGACCTTTGACTGCGTGCCCTTATGTCTTCAGCTTGTAAAATTCCGATGATCGGACAAACTGGCGGCAGCCTTGCCCTGGTTTTGCAACGTACCAGCACTTTTACAATCAGAGCAACTTGTTTTGTCGCGATTGCGGTAAAATCGGGCAATTACAAAGATCATGACGCTTCAAAATTGAGCACAGTATCCTGAACGTTTGGTTGTACATTGCCCGCGTGGAATTAATTGAGATATTTTAATCAAATGTTATGGAATTTCATTCATTTTTTAATAATTACATCAAAATCCATTTTAAAATGGAATTAAAAGAAAATCGTTCTAAAAATTCCAATGATTTTATTGTAATTTTTATATTTAATTTGGTGGAAAATTAAGTTATTCAAATTTTATTATTTATTTATTTACATTTTGTCAATTTGTTGCAGAGTCGTTCAAGGATGACTCGTCGTTCATCCTGCCGAATCTGGATGTGTTCCCAGACGTGGAGAAGCCCGGCACCGAGCTGCCGCTTCCCATGGACCTGGTGGACACCGAAGAGCTGCTGATGGACCTGGAGACCATCCTTCCGGACATTGACTCGCCTCCGCAGAGTCCTCCAAGGCTCACTGAACTTGACGAGCTGCTGCAGCTGCGCGCAGAGGCCCTGCCGGACCCTGAGGAGTTCGACGACCTGTTGATGCCTCCAACGCCGTCCGACTCGTACGCCTCCTCGCCAGGGCCGCACTCGAGCCCTTCCTACGCTCCGTCGACTCCCGCCTCCATCTACAGCGATTCCAGCAACGACCCTGAGTGGGTCCCTGAGCCAATGCCCGGCCCCTCCAAGACCAAGAGGAAGCCCTACTCGAGGGTCAAGCGGCCGATCGACCGCGCCGAACGCAAGAAGTTGCAGAACAAAAACGCTGCCACGCGGTACCGCAACAAGAAGAAGGTGGAGGAGGATGAGTTGCTGACGCAGGAGGCTGATCTCGCCGCCCGCAACAAGGAGCTCCGAGACCAGGTCTCCGAGATCGAGACGGAGATGCGCATCGTCAAGGACCTGCTGAGGAACAAGTTTAAGCGAATGGGCCTCCTCAAATAAATCCCCTGCATTTTGTCCTTACGTCTATCTATGGCTAGCTAATTTTATGCGCCGGGCTATCTGAAATTTTCCTTCTGAATTTTTCAGTTCTGATATGGCCCGGAAGTGTTTTAAGTAAACTAACTTATAGTTAGAGAAACTCCAGGGCCCGATTGTCTCGTTGTAGCGGTAAGAGGTGTGTGGTTTTTGCTATTTACACAACGTCATTCCACCAGGTGCAATGATTTGATTTCTTCCGATTGTCTCTTAATTTTTTTATTAGTTATTTTCAACATGACGGGCGCTGCGGATTGATTCTGATAACCTGATGAAGTGCAAATTTTTTTCTATCGCGCCGAGTAGTTGGGTGGGGAGGCCGCTGCGTCCTGTCTCTTTATGATTTTTCCACTTGAACTTTGTCACCTGGCCCTGGCTATCAATTTAACAATTACTCTCATCTATGTTCACTAACCCTTAGATTGTATTTTAAACGTCAATAAAATATCCTCTGGTGCGTGGAAAATTAGAATTTTATTTGTAATTTACCAACTTTATTCTTATGAAGGAGTCGTTACAAAAAAGTCGGTTTAAAATCCTTAGTCAAACTTTTGATAAAAATTAAGATGAATTTGAGAAGAAAAACTCAGAAACTTTGATTTCCTATTATTGTACATTACCATGCATTTTTATTGTTCAATCAATCATACATGATGATAAGAATGGATCATTATTTAAAGTCATTCATCTTTATCTCGCTAGGTTTCATATACTTGCAACTCTAAATGATATTATCACATTTGGATTTAAAATACACATGTATTTACATGCACTTGTTTGTGTGTTTGTATTTTATATTCTTTTCATTTATATATAGTAATGAATCGAGAGTTAATTCATGATGATAAATTGTTACATTGCTGTAAACACCCATATGTACCTCTAACATGCACACCGAAACTCACAAAGCGTATTTGCATCCTTGTTAGGCCAAGAACGAGATATTATTCTATTTTTACACCTCCTGCATGAAGGTCAAAAATTATTTTCAATTTCTATTCCTCAATTGATGCGGGTTGTCAATCGATTCAGGTATTTTGGTGAGCAAAATTTACAAAAAAGTACAACCGCAGCGTCGTCGCCACCAAACTGAAAAATAAAATAATAAAAATCCACTCCAGTCTCTTTTTTGACCGAGGGTTCCAAAAGGGCAGCGCCGACACCGTCAGTTGGCCAAACAGAAAGAAATCAGGAGACTAATACTCGATATTGGGGAAGGGAATTTTAATCAAAGGAGAATGGGCGCCGGCTGCGGAGGATTCGGCCCGTTTGACTAGCCCAACTGTGGCGTGTCCTCGCAATGGACCCTGCCAGTAAAAAAAGTGTCTCGGGCAGATGGGGGCGTCTCCGCGCGCGCGTCTTCGTCGTCACTCGCTCCCCTACCTACGGCAACAACAACAAAAGAAACAACAACAAAGCGTCCCGTGGGCCGCTTATCTGCCAAACGGGTGCTGCTGTGTTGCTTGCGACGTCGCCGGGTGCTGCTGCGGCTGCTGGGTCGCTTGCACCTGCATCGGCTGGCTCAGGGGGTAGTGGTGGGTGACGGGCACACCCTGCTGCTGCCCGCCACCATGTACCATTGTCTGGTTTGGAGACGTTGAGAAAAACCCTGCAAAAGGAACAATAATTAATTACATTTCAGATCAATTTTAATTATTTACTTTTATCACATTTTAAATACAAAATTTTTACAAGGCAATAATAAGCTAAAATATGAGATCCTTGAGAAAATACATACAATATTATCAAATGAAATGAAGAAAAAAATAAAAAAAAGTCCATGATTTAAAATTTTGTGTTCTTCTACTAAATATGTAAATGAAAATTTAAAGTGAACTGATAAGAAAAATTTCAATAAGTATTTGTTTCAAAGAAAAAATCAAGTGAAAAGAAAAATACAAATTTTTCTAATTTTTTTCAGTATGTTGTTTTTTACTGTTCTTCAATCTAACGATATAGTTTGGACGTCAGAAAGCGGCTTGGTGCCACTCTGGTTCTAATTTGAGACCTGTGTTTGGCGAGTTGGACATCTTGTCCGCGGCTGACAGCTTCGAAAAGGCCAGCAGGGCGTCTGGGAAGTTGGGTGGAGTGGCTGGCGTGTTGCACGGCGTGCACACCTGAAATCAGAAACCACGCGCTGTACTACGGCTTCCCATTTTTTTGAACCGCGGCAGCTGTTGAGCTGCGGCACGGAACTTTGGAAAATAAAATATTATTAACATTGCTCTTACCTGGCCAAAGTGGTTTGTCTGCGGGTGGCAGCTGGGAATGGCCGCCTCTTGGAAGAAGATGCTTAGCGCCGTCTGCAATTCAAAGACAATGACCAATCATAACAATTGAAATATCTTAATTGTTACAATTTTTAGAAATACAATTAAATTAATATTGTTAATTTTTTGAAAAATTATAATTTATGATTAATTTTTAACTATTTAAAAAAAATAATATTTGTTATAATAACACTTTTCTAAACAAACATCCTCTGTTGTTAGAAGAGTTGCGCTGATTTGACTAAAGGTAAAAATATAATTCCATCAAAAATGCACAGTTGGCAGACAACTTGGCGCGTTTCGCAAGAGGTGAGCGCGTGTTGGGTGAAAATGATGATTGCGAGTCATCAACCTTAATTTTTTCTTTTTCTCCATCACACATTTTAAACTCGTCCTTCCCCCCATCGGCACAAACTGGTCCAGCAAACGAAGGAAGCGCTGCGCCAGGGGCCGAAATTCGTAAACAAGCTGCAAAGTAAAGCAAGGAAAAACAAACCCGAACTCGCCGGGGCGCTGCTCCGGCCGATAAGATAAACAAACAAACCAACTTATAGGAGAGGCTTGTCTGGACATACGCGAATTTTACACAAAGTCATTAACGCGCCAGATAAAAGTGTAGTGAGTAATCCAAAAACAAGGACGAAATAAGATAAAACCGATTTTTAACCAACAGTGGTTTGCTTCAATTGACTTCCAAAACATCAAAATGATTGTATCTGGTTGAACTATCATTTAAACAATTGAATTCCAGTCATTAGTCTAGTCTTAAATTAATTAATTAATTTTTGTGTATTGAATTGATGTAAGATGTTGTGTATTTCATTGTATTTGAATGGAGAATAAATAAATTAAAAGTTAAATTAATTTCTTCAAACTTAAAAATTCTCTCTTTTTAATATTTCAAAATCACATCATATTTAAAAAATTAAAGCCCACAAATGATGAACAGAAAATTATTAGAAATTATTAAAAAAAAATTTCAATTGTACCCTTTAGTCTCTAGACTAAAAAAATCAAAATTGAAAACATTTTAATGCATAGCTTTACAAAATTTAAAAATTAGTCACGGTCATAATTATTATTTGAAAGAGGAAATAATTTTTTTTTATTGTTGTAGATAAGATGTTTATCTCAAAATTGATATAATGACATTAGAACTTCATTAAAACAAGTTAATTTGCGACTTTAAATCGTAATACTAATTATTAATTGTTGATATTTTCATTGAATATCTTAATTAAATAAAATGAAAATTCCACTGTCATATTTATGTAATTTGGAAAAAATATTGGGATTGCACTTTATCTCTGCCGCAAGATTGTTAGGAATGTATTTTTCTTGTCTCGTGGGCGCAAGTCGGTCGCAAATCAATCGCCCTCGACGGAGCACGGAAGCGTCTGGCCAAGAACGAAGCAACACCCACGTGTCCACTTGGGCTGCTCGACCCGGTGGTGCTAAAACGGTTGGGCTCGGCCATGTCGTGATCAATAATAATATGCCCCAACGCCGTGCCGGTTGCGTTTCCGTTCGCGCCCGATTTCAAATCGCAAAATTAAAATTCTCAATGAATTTTGCTTCAAATTTTTCCCCTTTTTTCCCGGTGTGAAGTGGGTGAGAAGAAGTGTGTTTCGAGAGGTTATATAAAAGAAAGGGATTTACGCAGAGCCACGGGGTGGTGCACGCGCCGACCGAGATATAATAATAATAATGCTTTTATTAAACGCGTTTGCGTACAACTACTAATACATACATGCTATACATACTAAATAGAACTAGGCGCACCACCTATCGGTGGACAGTCATTACAATCAGTTTGAGCGTATTTCAGCGGGAATATTGATGATCAGCCATTTGAGCAAGGGAGGAAAAAGGCGATCGAGTACAAAATAAACAGTGGTGTTGACTACAATATTGTGAACAAAATTTACATTTACATGCTTTGCTTGCAAAGTGATATTCCTTTTTAACACAAAATTTATAATGAAATCCATGAACTATTATTCTAGTATAAACATGCCTGTCCTGTTGAAGAGGACTTCTCCATTTAATCGGGAGTGTAACAATTGCATTGTGAAAATCAGGAGGAATATCAAACGATTTCATTTCTCTCTCGAATAACAAAGTACCAAAAGCAGGTGTGTATGGAAGATTATACATAGATTGCAAACAACCAATAAATGAATCAACCTCCAACATTAAATGCACAATTCTATTCTGAGCTGATTTATGTACACACAAGAGGCGTTTCAAATATGCATTAAAAACAAGATTTAAATTTCTGAGATCTGTTTGAGTGAGATAAGGCCAAGCAATTGTAATGCCATAACTGGCAATAGGCGCCACCTTTATAAAAAAGAGACGGATTGCTGCATCTACACTCAACATACGAAGTTGTTTTATATCAAATGTAGCCAAATTTGCTAATAATGTTCGAGATTCTACATGTTTGTTAAATGATTTCGCCGTGTGATTCAAAGTCACTCCAAGATATTTAACTACATTCTCAAATTTAATTTCGGAGCCTTTACAAAATAGTTTATCTGTGTTTTTAATTCGACCTCCTTTCCGAAACTTGACGGCAACAGTCTTCTGGGCATTGACAACAAGGTCATTGCTATCTGAGTACTCAACAAGGAGATTCAGTCCAGACTGAAGCATATCAAGTCGTTTTGCAAGAAGGGCAGTATCATCGGCATAATTGAAAATGACAACTTCATCTTTTAAATTTTGTTCGATATAAAGATTTAAATCAAATACATAAAAAATATAATAGAGTGGTGAGGATGTGCCACCTTGTAAGGTACCATTACTCTGAACAAATTTTTGTGAATTTGCAACTCCATCAAAAATTGACAAAAAATTTATGTCCAAAATAGTTGCTATAATATTGAGCAGTTGTTTTGGCAGTATTTGAAGAGATATCAGCTTATCAAAAAGTTTCTGCCGATTTACCGAGTCGAAGGCTTTCGAGTAATCGACAAAGGCAGCATACACTGGATTATTATTGAAATAAACTTCCTCGATCAAATGATTATGTAGTTTTTGGACAGCTGGGATTGCTCCACGTCCTGGCATATAGCCATACTGTTCAGCCGGAATAATGGGCTGAATTTCAGAGAACACACGACGAATTACAACTTTGTCATATAATTTGTACAAAACATTACTTAATGCAATACCTCTATAATTGTTTGGATCAGATTTTTCACCTTTTCCTTTATATAAAATATTCAGATTTGACAACTTCCACTGCTCAGGTATTTTGTTTAATTCTGCACATTTATTGAACATTTTTGTAAGCAGAGGCACAAATTCATATTTCGCAATGAGTTTTAAATGTTCATTTAACATTTTATCTGGGCCGGGGGCCTTACCACTCTTTAAATTTTTAATGGCTAGCAAAATTTCCTCATCCATGAATGGTATGAAAGGCGAATCAACATTGTAATCTTCAAGTAGGCTTGACAAGTTAAGTGAATCTGTTGCTCGCAAGTTCTGCACATTTAGAATGTTTGAGAAATGCTGCACCCAAGTAGACATTGGTACAGCGGATGTAATTCGTTTTTGTTGCGAGTTTCTCAAAACCAAATAGGGCGTTTTCTCAGCTTCAAGTATTAATTTTTCCTCCTGTTTTCTATTAAATAACTCTCTTGAATCTTTACACATAGCTCGATAATCAGACTTTGCCACTGATATAATTTCGAGAGCTTCCTCTTTTTCAAATTGCACAGTTCCTGCTGGATCAGGGTCAGTATTATTCTCAGAGCTATTTACTTGTAAAGTGTTAAGATGATATTTCCAAGACCGTATATATTGATGCTGCAACCGACAATCATTAGTATACCATGGTTTCGAAACCCTCTGTGATACACCTGGGGTTGCAGCAGAGGAATGTATTAATTGTAATATTTCTTCATATGCCACATCAATTTCATTATTTTCAAGTTGATTCATTAATGAGTTATATGCGGTCCGAAAATTCAAAACAAATAAGGCCTCATCAACTTTATACACAGGCTTTTGCCTTTCATTTGCAGGATTTTGAGAGCTATTATTAATTTTTAATTTAAATTTGGCTTTAACAGGGATGTGTTTACAATTTTCAATACATTCTAGTGCAGAACAGCTCACTAATTCCATATAAAATGGATCATAAAATATTAAGTCTATAGTAGAACAGCCAATTCCACTAATAAATGTATAATCACAGCAGTCATTTGCTAACTTTAAATCAAGTGCTGAGAGTAGTTCAAGTAATATTATAGACTTTTTACTGCTATTATTTGCTGTTTGTTTACCTGCAGGGTCAATACGTGCATTAAAATCGCCTATTACAATAAGATTTTTATCCAGATCAACATATTGCAATGCGTCGAGCAGTGAGGTTTGAAAAACGTTTTTGTCGAGTTGAGGAGGGCAGTAAAAACAAGCAATTGTGAGTTGATCTAAAAATACTAGTAAACACTCATCAGTGAGTTCCAATTTTTGAAATGTGCCTACGGATGGTTTTACATAACAACTAATACCTCTCCTGATTTTTCCTCCTAGTTCAATTCCATATTTGTGATAACTATAATAGCCTGGAATGTCTACTACATCTCCGTCTTTTAAGAAGGTTTCACAAAACACAATGATGTCGTAGTTCAAATAACTCGCTGTTAATGGAAGTTTTGGTAATGCACTTGTCAAACCTTCACAGTTCCATAAAACTACTGATATACAAAACTGATCATGTCGAGAGGCGCTTAAAAATGCCGCTTTGATCCGACAGGCACTGAAGAGGTTGCAGATGTGGACTGAGTATCTTTAAATGCTAAGTTGCGTCTTGATGTGGATGGAGGACAATTAGTCCTTTGAGTCACATTTACACTGCTAAACCTGCCCACTTTTGCAGGAGTAGCAGACTCTGGGCTGACTGCAGTGTTGTTGACATCAAGAGAATTTGTTTCTAAACTGTCTTCCACTTCCTGAAGTGTTGTGGCTGTTTCGGCAAGGATTTCTAGACTTCCAACAGTTGGAGCTTCTTGTGGAGTTGTCTCTGTAGCTACCACCAGCAAACTCTGTGCTTGGTGTCCATCACCCTGCACAACTAGGCACTGGGTTGGGTCTTCAGCAGCTGTTCGCTCAGCAGCAGTCGACCGACTAGGGGCAGACTGGGTATCACTCAACACTACTTGGTGCTGAGGAGGATCGGCAATCAGCTGGGATGCAGTACGTCGTCTTCTTTTCTCCGGAGAGTAAACTAGAATTTCAAAAGCATCGTTAGAGAAAATCTCCAGAAATTTGTACTGAACAAAGCTATAGTCAAGATGATCCAAGCCACAGCCAATTCTTGGCATTGCAAATTTACGAATATTGTTAATCATGCAGAATTCATGCAGCGACTTAAAAGCATTAACGTAATTGTGTATGAATTGATTTGGGTTGTGAGCCAACTTATTTCTGCTGTAGTATTTAGTGTTCAAGTGCAGAATTAAGGTATTTGAGTCACTATCCCATTGTTGAATAATTGTGCCTGGAGTGCGGCAATGAAGTGGTGGGAACTGAGAGCGATCAACTGGGACAGCTCTCTCCAGTTTGGCAGCAAGGCCCTTCTGGCGTCCCATGTCACAAGCTACGGCATGCACAACTACTTCCAGCTCTCCATTCTGTAGGGCAACAATAAGATCTCCATTAACTTCTGTTATAGTAGTCGGAGAAGGAGGCATTTCTAGCTCATGCAAGTCGCTAGCCCTTGTTATACTAAGATATTCGTTTAAAGCCTGTGTGTATGGAGTGGAGAAAAATTCCAGGCACCTTCTGCTTGGTTTATGGCAGGGTATGTTGGGATGGATGAACTTCGACTGGCGGCGTTGTGTCTGTGGACGAACATCAGCTTGAGGTGTGGTTTGACGTACTTCTTGCTGTTGTCTTCGAAGATTCACAACTTCGGCACGCAGCGAGTTCATAGCACTGTTCATGCGGTTCATTCGTGATTCCATCTGTTGCACTTTTGTAAACAGACGACGCACGAGCGGATCAGGATGATTCGGGCCGTGTTGATTTGAGCCGGGGAACTGTCGCCCGCGACCCCATTGACGGGGTGGTGGCGGCCCTTGCCGACTGATCTGTCCTGCTGCTCGTTGTTGTTGGAATGTTGGACGGCGACCATTTTGGCTGTTTACAAACTCTCGGGCCCTGTGAAACGACGACATGATGAAATTTCGAGGCAGTGGAAGACCGCAGTCTCTCAATGTGAGCTAACATATACCCAGCAAGGGTATTTGTACCTTTAGAGACGCTGAAACCCGCTTTTCACTGCCTGCTTTTCACCAGAAATGCGAAATTCCAAGGGACCAAAATCGGCGTGTTTTTGAAGTCGGCGGTGATGCTATTGATTCAACCCAAACAACCCCCGCCTGCGTGTCTGGCGCGCATGACTCGCACACTCAATAACAAACCCTTTGCGTATTAAAAATAAATGTCGAATCGGCCGGGCTGATTTTAGCTTTGCGTGTTCCGGCGACCCAAGGAAAAACCCCTCACAAAGCAGCCCCCGAAGAAGGCTTTCCCCCGAGATTAATCACTCAAATTGGTTCACGTTTTCTAATGTAACAAAAAAAAAATATGTGTATAAAAATTCATTCTTTGAAACATTTATTAATTCTTTTTATAAAATTGAACGAGCAGTTGCAATTCTACAGTCTTAGATTTTTTTAAGATTAATAAAAATCAGTTGATATTTTAAACTTTAGAGACTAGCATCACTTTTGAAGAAAAATATGAAATAAATCAATTTGGAATGAAGATACGATAACAGGAAGTCATAATATGATGTTTTTTTTTTTAAGATTTGAGGTTTCCTACCAACTTTGGGCTCCGTTAAAAAAATCAATTAACATGAAAGTGAATAGCAATCATGATATTCAAAATATTGCAAGTCAGTGGTGAAAATTGTATGTACTTCTTCAAAAATATCGCTTTGCATATTTTTATCCATGGCGAATAAAAAAAAAATATTGCAATGGTAACGCAAAAATATGTAAAATAAGCAGAAAAACAATTGATTCGAAATTCCACTCTGTAGAGGAAAACCTAAATAATATGAACTTTAATTTTGACCAACTCAATTTAGAGCCCGGACGAGATTATCACGTGTTTTGTATTTTTTTTTTTGCTATTTCCGTCCCGCAGAAGCGCCGCCCGCATTTGTTTGTAAATAACCTCGGCAGAAAGGTCAATACCAAAACAAGCGCGATTACGTCACGTCTTTCTTGCTCGTGTCCGTCGTTCGCCTTCCTCCGAAGGGCCTCCGTTTTGGTGGTCGGACAAGCCCCCGTGAGGGTAGAGTGCGGAGGCCGGGGGTCATCGGAGCGAGAAAGAGAGAGACGGCCGAGCTCGACACAAACAAGCAGCAGCCATTTTCGTTGCGCACGTTTGTTTACCGTGTCCCGAGAGCGATTTTCGTCGGGCTCTCACCTCGAATTGCCAGTGCGCCGACTGCAGAAGTTGCTTGGCCTGGTCGCGGGCACATCCGGCCGCCAGCACGAACTGGTTGATCATCACCTGCTCCTTCAAAGAGTCCATTTTCGGGCCGAATTCCAGTTTCGTCCGCCGAGCAGCTCCTTTGCCTACAACACAAGACGACCTGCAGGGTTTGTTTTCAACAAGACTTGAGCTCCCCCACTGCTGCGCTGCTGCGAGCGATACAATGAATGACGTCACTGGCTCGCTCCCCATTGGCTGCCGCGATCACTATTTTGCTCTTTACGTCGCCCTCCCCTCCCTCCCTACGCTCTGTTTTGGCTGCCTTTTAAAAATTACTCCTATCACTTCTGCAACATCCGTGCTTGAAATTTTGACCTTTTTTACCTTTTATTCGAAAATAGGCAAATCGAAGGTCATTTTTATTGATAAATTATTCTTACATCGTTATTTTCTTTCACAGATTTGTCGAATATCGAAGGGCGAAGGAGGTGAATTCCCAAGTTCAAAGGATTGGCGCCATTAGGACGAAAATCACGTGACTCGTTTGTGGTTGACAGCAAAACATCACGGTCATGTGAATTCGTCCTGCGTCTCGCACGCCGACCCATTTATCTTTCCGACTAAAAACTCTTGGTAGGAAAACACTCGCTGATTGCTGGTGCCGAAGTCGAATCTATAAGTAAATTGTTCTGTTTCTCTGCAGACTAGTCCCTCGAAAGATGTCCGACAACCCGACTACGGAGAAACCTCCGCCGTATTCGGCTCAGGCGCCTCCACCTCAGCGTAGGACATTAATTGGATTTACGTTGCAACGTCCAGTGCAATAATTTGTTCCTAATTCCAGCGTCGTTCATTCCACCTCCTGGTTACCAGCCTTATCAGGGTCCATCTGCGCCTCTGCAGGGCGGTTACGGACCCTCATACGGAGCCACAACCATCACGGTGCAACCGCAGGAAATCATAATCGTTGGTGCTTGCCCAGTTTGCAGGGTAGACTAATAATTATTTCAATAATCTGGTTAGGAAAAATTTAAAATTAATTTATTCCTATTTTATAAGATTGCAGGCAAGAGGCTTTTGTTAAATAAAGTACTGTTTTTTTTTTAGAAAACTTCCAATTTATAACTCGACTATTTTCAGGAAATAAAAGGAATTAAACAAAATAATTTACTGCTGTGGGTTTGGTTATATTCCCTATAAATTGCACACTTCTAAATATTTGAGATTTGATTTAATTTTCTGGGAATACAGTCTTGGTTTTTCGGGAAGGGGTTGCAGAAAGGGCGCTCTTGAGCGGGGTCGTAGCTGTGGGCGGCGGCAGGCAGCAGGAACTATTGCCTCAGAGGTGGCTGGTCAGCTGGCAGCAGCAACGGTCCGGACACCTGCGGAGGTGGTTGACTCGCAGCAGGACGTGATGGTCGGACGGATGGCAGCGGGCGGGACCAGGTCTTCTCCTGAGAGCCACGGCAAGGCAGGTCACCGTCTGGAGGGCCTGGAAATTAGGGGAATAGTGAGTATGGGCTGGTTATTGATAAAATGGTTGTTGTATTTAATGCAACAACACAGTCGGACTTAGTTTACCTGGGTGAATTGCAGGCACGGGTGTGGAGGGTGACTTGTAGCAGCCGGGGTGGAGTGTCCGGGTTAGGCGCCGCTTCTGTCCGACGTCGCTGTCCGGTGAGAGGGTCCGCCCTAGAACAGTATTGGGGCCATCAGCTGACCGCAAAGGAACTAGAGGGCGTATCTCTTACCGTCAAGGTTGGACGGGACAGGTGCAGCTCGGGATCCTCTGGCGGGGGCACAACTGACCAGGGTGGAGGCAAGGGAGGCCGTCCGGTCGGCTGGGACGGAACGGTCTGCTTGTGGTCGAACCTGGGAACAAAGAGTTAACTTTTGAGTTCCTCCGTCAGCAGCAGTGGCAAGAGAGTCGCCTACCTAATCGGTAAAAGGCGGATCTGCAAGTCGCGCTGCGGCCGACGGGGGAGCTCCTTATATACCATAAGCACCCACCCACTTTCCATAAACAAAAGATTGCCCTTCTACTAGAATATTCCCACCCATCGGTCGACGTGAGAGAATTCAGGCAACCTTTGTACCTGAATTCTCCAACGTCAAAAGAATTTACTTTTCATCCCAAAAATAGACTTGTTAATTCTCAACAATTGATTTCCCACAAAAGATTATTAGACTGATTTTTAAAATTAATTTCACTACTAGGATTTTAATTTTAAAACCCACTTAACAAAAAATATTCATAAAAAAAAAACTAAGAACCAAACGTACATAATGCATTAACAAAACCCCGTAAATTAATTTGATTTCTCTTAACAAAAACAATCCTTAAATTTTAATACCAACTCCCCCCCCATTATGTACTTTGTTCTCTAAATAGCAGTCTTTGTGCTCTGATCAAAAAATAACATTTAAAACAATTTCTTACTGTGTAATCTGTGTGTTGTGAATGTGTATGTTTATGCCAAATTGCAGGTTTGGTGTGTTTATGTCTGAGCAAGAGGGGGCGTACCAGCAACAAGTGGTTGTGGGTAGCTCGTGTGGTGGCAGCACCGGTATGTTTGGGTGTTTGGATTTCTTTGAAAATGGCGGCGGTGCATGAATAATTTGCCGTGTTCTGCATTGAATTAACTTAATGTGCGTGTTTTTCGCAACAATTCGGGTCTCCGAGGGCACAGGCGGCTTTCCTGGACAGTGCTGGATTCGGACGGAGGCCGAATTTGTCCACGGCGGAGGATGTTCTATCCTTTGAAGGCGTGCGAGTTGGTGCCGCGGGACGTAAGTTTGTTGAACCGGCACTCGCCGTTCGTGTTCTTTGCGTCCCTGGTGGTCGCCCTGGGGGTCGTCCCCTTCGTGTTGGCGTCGATGACCGACCTCTTTGAATTGCAGGTGTTCGTACCGGCGAGTCGGATGCCGTCCGCGTGGGATGGCGAGCTCGGATGGCACTCGGGAAACGGCTTGGCGTCCGTGATGGACGGCCTCTCGGAATGCGGGAGCGGCTGAAGTCGTCGGCTGCCGAATCATCCGGCGCGAAGGTCGGCAAGTCGTCGTCGTTGTCGACCGTCGGAGGCAGAAGAGAACGAGTTGCTGGTAAAGGTATTCTACTTCTCGGCACGGGCGGAAGGGTTAAACTGGTTCGCGGGGCGGGTGTGGGTGGAGGGATTTGCTGGTTTAATGAGGGTGGTTGGGCAATGGGGTTTAATATCCCCTGTTGAATATTTGTATTTTCCGCTGGTTTTGCGAAAATTACAGCCATTGGTGCTTTGTGAAGTTTTTCCAATCTCCTCATTTTGCCCAAGTGGTACTTAAATTGTTTTCCCGTGTCCACATTTTCTAATTTGTAAGTTGTGGGACCTAATTTATCAATTACACGGAATGGACCTTTCCATCTGCCGGCAAATTTATTTTGTGGGGTTTCATTTTTAATTACCACCCTGTCACCAAGGCGTAATTCGTCGTAAACTTGTTCTGAACCACCAGCCTTTTGCCATGTTTTATATTTGGAGAAAAGGTCTTTTGAAATAGCTGCTTCCCGTGCTAATTGTAAATCTAGTTTCAACAAATCCAAGTACTCAGTTGGTTGGAAAAACTCTTCCTGCTGATTGACATTCATGTCTGGGTGGGTAATTTCATCCCAGGGGAGTTTCATGTCAAAGCCAAACATTAGTTTATTTGGGGAGAAACCTGTAGCTGTGTGAACATTTGCTCTTATAGCTAGTAGGGCAAATGGGAGGAAATCACTCCATTCTTCATCTGTTTCATGCTCCGTAAAAATAGCTATGAAGTCAATTAACCCTTTGTGCACTGCTTCTACTGAATTTGCATTTGGTCTATATGGCGATGTTGTAATATGCTTGATTTTCAATATTTCGCAGACTGACTCAAATAGCCTGGAGACGAAGTTGGTTCCATTGTCGGTGATGAGGCCCTCGACTGCTCCATAGCGGCAAACTACGGTCTCGACAAAAGCTCGTGCCACTGATTCTGCTGTTTGATCTTCTAGAGGAGCCGCTTCTACATATTTGGTATGAGCCTCATACATTGTGAGAATGTATTTGAACCCTTTCTTTGTTCTAGGCAAAGGTCCTACAATATCGGCATACCAAAGTTCTCCAACTCTGACTGCCGTCTTTTGTATCTGCTGAGGGGCATGAAGTAGCTGGTTCTGTTTTCTATACTGGCATTCGACGCAGTTATGAAGGTGGTCTGATATCGACTGATCCATCTTCGGCCAGTAGTACCTTTTGGTAAGGGCTTCTCGTAATTTCGTCGTCTTCCAATGTCCCCCCCAAGCTGTTTGGTGGTGGAGCAGCATTATCTTGAGAACGTGATCATTGGGGATGCACAAGCGAGCCGTTGATTTCCCCCATCTGTATAGAAGGCCTCGTCTGTCGAGGAAATATTCGCCCTCATCGGACATTTTGGGCTTTTTGTTTATAATATCCTTCCATGCTGGATCTTGCGCTTGTGATTGTTTTAATTGCTCAACATTCAATCCATTTTTGAGGCCTAAGACCAATTCTAATTTTTGTGTTCCTATTTGCAGAACGTCTATTTCTGGCCTGGAGAGAAAATCTACTCGCTGGACTGTTTTTCCTGGGGCGTGGTGGACCACAAAATCAAACTGCTGCAGTTGGAGAATCCATCTTCCAAGCATAGGTTTGAGTGGTTTTGTGTGTAGGAGCCATTTCAAACTGCTGTGATCTGTCCACAGGTGGAATAAGTTTCCTTCCAGGTACACCCTGAAGTGTTCAACTGCTGCAACGACGGCGAGACATTCGAGTTGACAGGCTGAGTAGGCCTGTTGTGCGCCTGCCAGTTTTTTGCTGAAGAACGCAACTGGTCGTCGCTCTTCGTCGGTGTCCCCCTGTTCTAAGACAGCTGCGACAGCTTTCGCACTTGCGTCTGTTGTGAGGTGAAACGGCTTGGTGAGGTCTGGGAAAGCCGTTGTCACCATATTTTCCAGTGCCTGAAGCAGGTTTTGGTAAGACTCCTGTTGCTCTTTTTGCCACCTGAATTTTGGCTTTTTTCCCTTAAGGACGTCTGTGAGAGGAGCGACTATCTCGCTGTATGATGGTATGTGTCGTCTGTAGAAGTTCCCCATCGCCACTAATCCTTTGATTTCTTTCACAGTTTTTGGCTGTCCTCTGTCCTTGATGGCTTTCACTTTGTCTGGATTTGGGTGCACACCGTGTTCGTCGATGATGAAACCCAAAAATTCTACTTGAGTTTTTATTAGCTGACATTTGGCTGGGCCAAATTTCAAACCCAAGTGGATTGCTCGTTGAAACGTTTCGTCCAGTAAGCTGATCAGCATAAGAATTGTAAGGGCATATAGACAGAAGTCATCTATGAAGATTACCACTCCCTTTTTCCGTTTGTCTGCATAGCCTTGTAAAATTGTTTTGCTGAATCGGGGTGGTCCATTTTTTATTCCATAGGGCATTCTTGTAAATTCAAAGTGGCCATCGTCGCAAGTAAATGCTGTTTTCTCTCTGCTTCTTTTTGAAAGGGGTAGTTGCCAAAATCCATTTGTCATGTCTAGTACGCAAAAATATTTACTTCCTGCAAACTCGTCTAATATTTCTTGCGTATGTGGGTAGGGGTAGACGAGTGTTTTTGTGACTTTATTTAGGGCTCGGAAATCCACACAGCAACGCCATTTTAACTTTCCATCTGTTGTTTTCTTTTTTACAAGAAGGAGAGGTGATGAGTATTCACTGGTGGATGGTTGTATCACCCCCATTTCGAGCATTTCTTTTACTGCTTTTGAAATCTCGTGTCTTTGGAGGTATGGCACTCTATAGGGCTTTAATCTAATGGGGGGCGTGTCTCCTGTGTCTATTTCCACTTCTTCATCTTTTATTAATCCCAGTGTATTTTCTCCATAAGCAAATGCTTCTTTGTTCTTAATTAGCATTTTCTTGAATTGTTTCAGGTACTCTTGTGGGACGCTTTCTAAGTTGAACAGAGCAAGGAATTGATCGTCATCCATTGGAGGTCCAGGAGTGTCCGGCCAGACCGGAGGTTCTCTTACATCAGATGGCTTGGTTTTCTGCATACAGTTTTGGCACAGCATGTACTCTTCGTCAGCGATGCCCGCCGTTCCACAATCAAAACATTTTTCTTTTCGGTCTGTTATTAAACTTCCAATTGCTCTAACTTCTATTTTCTCATTTTCTACGTGTTGCAGCACTTCGAGTTTTTGAAGATGGCTGGAGGTTAACTGGATGGGTTCATCACTTGAATTTATAAACAGAACCTGGACGTAACCATCTTCTTGAACTACAGAAAGAGTTGCTGGAAGTTCTTCATGTTTTTCTTCTGTGAAAAGATCAATGCCCTGAATGGTGAGAACTTCTGATTGTTTATATCTTGTTCTGACTGGCAACGCTGCTATTGAGTTTGCGGGAATTGTTGGCCTTTTTGTTTTGAAGCTGTGTACTAAAATTGGATTTTTTTCAGGTTTGTCGGGTCTGAAGTTCTGTCGGTGGAATGGGAGCTTTTTACTAGTTTTATTCGTCCATCTGGCATAACCTCTATCAGCTCTTCGTATTTTGCCACCATTAGAAACTGTTATGCAGTTTGCTGCTTGAGGTGTGAGAAGTAGGAGTTTGACTTTTCCCCAATGGAAGCCTAATGAGTCCTCCGAAACCAGTAAGTTCACTTGATGGCGTACCAGAAAGTCTTGTCCTAACAAAGCTTCAAAATTGACTCTTCCAGTTTCAACGACTACAAATGAGTGGACGTAATAGTGGTCGTCTATTTTGATTTCAACGTCTGCTTGTCCCAAGACTTTAATTTGGCTTCCATTTGCTGAACCAACTCTATGTTGAAACGGAATTAGTTGAAGGTTGAGTCTATCAGCTATCTTTTTTGTTAACAAGCTGACATTTGCTCCGGAATCAATCAAAAGGCTTGTGAGTAAACAATTATTCAGCATGGCGAGAAGAGTGTAACTTGCACATGGTCTGACTAAATTAATTTCTATCTGACATTGCAGGGTAGTTTCTTTTGCTGGCTTCAGTCTGCTACGTTTTTGCTGATTTGCTGATTCGCAGTCTGTTGATGAATCTGTTTCTGATGAATTTGTATCTGACGAATTTGTATCTGATGAATTCTCATCACTGGTCTGAACTCCTACGCTGATTTTATACGGAGGTGGTGGAAGTTTATTTATTTCTGTATGAAGTGATTTTTGTGTGTTTTTCCGAGACTCATTGCGAGGAGCAGCTTGTTTAGCTGGCTCCTCTAATTCATGTTTTTTGTTTTCGCAGGACAGTCATATGGGCAATGTCCCGGTTTCCGACAGTAGCCACAAATGAGTTGAGGACAGTCGGCAACCCAGTGACCTTCCTCCCTGCAAAGATTACAAATCTTTGGTCGACTTGGTGAAGACGAGCGAGATCTTGAGCGAGTTGAGTAGCGCCTGTCATTGTAGGGAGAATTCGGCCTCGAATCTTGTCGACTGCTACGTTCTGGTCTTGTAGGTGGAGCAGGTAATGCTAGCATTTTTTTTCTTGGTTTCTCTTCCTCAATTTTGGCTTCTCTAAAACGTACTTCTTTTTCAGGCTGCTTCGCATTCACCATGTTGGCCATGTTGGTCATGTTCCAGTACGCTGTGGCCATGGCATTTGGTTGAGGAGCCCAATAAGGACTTTGTGTTTGTTGTGGAGGTACTTGGCCCATGTACGGAGGCATCATCTGATTGTAGGCTGGATAATGTGGCCCGTACATTTGCGGTTGTGCAGAAGGAGGAGGTTGGGGCGCCCATTCATTTGTTTGCCACAAATTTTGCATCATTTGTGTGGCAATGTCCACTTGGTTTGTCATTATTGGATGTTGAGGAGTTATGTTTGCTTGCATATGTGCTGCCTTTGTGATGTTTAAGGTTTCCTCTGCGGTGAGAGCTGCTTGACGCGCTTGGGCCATTGATTTTACAGTTTGTGGCCCCACGATGAAGTACAGCTCAGGACGTAGACCTTCAATGAATTTCTTAAAACAACGTTGGTCCCATATATTTTTATCTCCTTCTGGCGTGACGCCCATGGGGATTGTTGTTCGTCGACGCAGTTTAGCAGCCTTGCTCTGAACGTTGTGGTAGTATGTTTCTACGCTTTCGTACTGTCCCTGCTTTAACTCGTTAAATTCCCTTTCTAGTTGCTTGTCACTAGTTGGAGGACGAAATTCTGCTCGGAAAGCTTCTTTCAGAGAATTGACGTTGGCCAGGACTGTGCCGTCTAAAGCACGGACAAATTCTCGTGCTCGACCAGACGTTCGCATTTCCAAGACCCACTTGGTGTCGTTTGGTTGGAGGCCATTGTAATTTATGAGTCCTTCCACGGAGCACAAGAAGTCCTCAAGTGACGAACCGTCAGAACGGCCCGTGAATCTTGGGATCATGTCGACTGATATCATGGGTTTTAATAATTGGGCTATTCCTATTGCAGGTTGGAATCCCATCATTCCTGGAGGGGGCTGCAGACCTGGGGGTGGTAGTCCACCAGGTGGAGGAGGCCCACCAGGAGGTGGAGGAGGCCCACCAGGAGGTGGAAGAGGTCCACCAGGAGGTGGTTGGCCACCAGGGGGTGGTTGGTTACCAGGAGGTGGTTGCCAACCAGGAGCTGTGAGGGATGGGCCGAAGGGAGGATTTATCCAAGTGCTTTGTGTGATGCTTCCTGTTATATTTGTTGCAGAAGTTACTGGTGCAGTCGACGTTGTTGTTGTCGTCGATGCTGCTGTCGTCGTGGACGAGGAAGACATTGTTGTTGACATTGTGAATTTGTTCTATTTGTTTATTGTCAGTACTTTGCCTGTGTGAACCAGGATCGCCAATTTGGTTAGGAAAAATTTAAAATTAATTTATTCCTATTTTATAAGATTGGAGGCAAGAGGCTTTTGTTAAATAAAGTACTGTTTTTTTTTTAGAAAACTTCCAATTTATAACTCGACTATTTTCAGGAAATAAAAGGAATTAAACAAAATAATTTACTGCTGTGGGTTTGGTTATATTCCCTATAAATTGCACACTTCTAAATATTTGAGATTTGATTTAATTTTCTGGGAATACAGTCTTGGTTTTTCGGGAAGGGGTTGCAGAAAGGGCGCTCTTGAGCGGGGTCGTAGCTGTGGGCGGCGGCAGGCAGCAGGAACTATTGCCTCAGAGGTGGCTGGTCAGCTGGCAGCAGCAACGGTCCGGACACCTGCGGAGGTGGTTGACTCGCAGCAGGACGTGATGGTCGGACGGATGGCAGCGGGCGGGACCAGGTCTTCTCCTGAGAGCCACGGCAAGGCAGGTCACCGTCTGGAGGGCCTGGAAATTAGGGGAATAGTGAGTATGGGCTGGTTATTGATAAAATGGTTGTTGTATTTAATGCAACAACACAGTCGGACTTAGTTTACCTGGGTGAATTGCAGGCACGGGTGTGGAGGGTGACTTGTAGCAGCCGGGGTGGAGTGTCCGGGTTAGGCGCCGCTTCTGTCCGACGTCGCTGTCCGGTGAGAGGGTCCGCCCTAGAACAGTATTGGGGCCATCAGCTGACCGCAAAGGAACTAGAGGGCGTATCTCTTACCGTCAAGGTTGGACGGGACAGGTGCAGCTCGGGATCCTCTGGCGGGGGCACAACTGACCAGGGTGGAGGCAAGGGAGGCCGTCCGGTCGGCTGGGACGGAACGGTCTGCTTGTGGTCGAACCTGGGAACAAAGAGTTAACTTTTGAGTTCCTCCGTCAGCAGCAGTGGCAAGAGAGTCGCCTACCTAATCGGTAAAAGGCGGATCTGCAAGTCGCGCTGCGGCCGACGGGGGAGCTCCTTATATACCATAAGCACCCACCCACTTTCCATAAACAAAAGATTGCCCTTCTACTAGAATATTCCCACCCATCGGTCGACGTGAGAGAATTCAGGCAACCTTTGTACCTGAATTCTCCAACGTCAAAAGAATTTACTTTTCATCCCAAAAATAGACTTGTTAATTCTCAACAATTGATTTCCCACAAAAGATTATTAGACTGATTTTTAAAATTAATTTCACTACTAGGATTTTAATTTTAAAACCCACTTAACAAAAAATATTCATAAAAAAAAAACTAAGAACCAAACGTACATAATGCATTAACAAAACCCCGTAAATTAATTTGATTTCTCTTAACAAAAACAATCCTTAAATTTTAATACCAAATCTAATATCTTTATCTTAAATTTCTCCATTTTCTCCAGGTTGGTTTCTTGGAAGATGATTACACCTGTCTTGGAATACTGCTCGCTATCCTCTTTTTCCCCTTTGGAATCCTGTGCTGCCTTGCCTTGAGGAATCGTCGATGCTCCAATTGTGGTGCTTATTTTGGCTAAGAATGGATATATACATTTTTTTTTTTATAATTTTTGTGTTGTCTTGCTGTTGATTGATTCAATTGTATGATTGTGCATTGTTACTTACAGTTACTATACAAATTGCTGTCGTTTTTTAAGTGAAATATTTTATCGTTCAATTATGCCTATGATATAATCAGGCTAGCAATTGGTGTTAATTAAAGTGAAAATGATCCCCAATTTGCATACACGCAAAACAATTATTCTTGTAAATATTGTACTTAATAGCTAGTTGGTCCGAATTGAAAAATAATCCTTATTATTAAAGCTGACTGACAGACTTATAGCGACCTGAGAAAATAATTTGTGCCTTCATACAGAGAACAAAAATAATATTTATAAAAAAAAGCTTGATACTGAAGTAAGTGAAATTAAATTACTATCAAACACCCAAGGAAGGTGCAAGTTTGTTCATAAATTTTGGTCACATTCCAATTTAAGAATTTATTATTGGCTTTATGTATGGTTATTTTATTCTATTTTTGTAGTCGCTAAACCTTGGATGTGAGATGCAAGTGATTACTAATTTTTTTCAAATAAAAAAAATTCATGTTTACATTTTTGTTTAATTCGAGCTCCTACCAATCTTCTTTAAGCCAGGAAAAATATATTTGTTGTTAAAAAAATTTAACCGCATTGCTTATCTAGAAAGTAGGTAATTCTAAAATACAAAATTTTAAAAAGGCGCCCAACGTGGGGCTCGAACCCACGACCCTGAGATTAAGAGTCTCATGCTCTACCGACTGAGCTAGCCGGGCTTGGTATCATATGTAGAAAAAATACCTACATATTTCTTAGCGCTACTGCAGCGCTAAATTTAAAAATTGGCGGGATAACCAAATGGTTTATATCAACTATATTAGTAGCGGCATTGTTCTACTTGAAGTAAAATGCAATCATGGATCATATTGAGACTACATTATTCTGCTGTATTCACAAAAGTTAGTTTCATTTTCAATTTATTGATATATTTTTCGTTACAACACCTTGGAAAATCAAATTTAGAAGAAATACAAACTTAATTTGTTTTTGTGTAAAAAAAGTTAAAAATATTTGTATTAGTCTCACACTATTTGGAACCAAATTGACGTAATTTGCAAAGATTACTGTTTGAACTTCACAGCAAATTAAACAATCTGAAATGCTCTTTGGACAAATCTGCTGATAACCAGGCTAACAAAAATGTTTTGTTATTCACAATATTCACAGTCAAATCAATTTGAAACTTCTAAGAATTAAATTGTAATAGACGATAAAAAAGATGCTTGAATTTTTAAAGCTAGACCCCATTTTCGGAATATAATTAATTAACAATTACACCTTTCCTTTTAGGAAACCTTACAGCGTTAAGAGTCAAATAAAATTAGCTCTTGAATTGAAGCAGCTTCTATTTTATTTTCCCTCTCTCTCTTTCTCGACACAAACTTCGCAAAAGACGAGTCAATTAAAAAAGGTTTGTGACGAAACTTTGCGTACAATTGTTAATTAATATTTCATCTCCGACGCAAAGCAGTCTCTGGCGTAAGGATTCTCCGCCAACTTGCGCCATTCTCAAGAAACTGCTGCCTTTTAGCAGTCGAAAGAAAGAAGAGAGGTAAATTGAGTTCAGTCCTTTTTTGCAAAGGAAAATAACGGCATCTTTTTGTTTCATACAAAAATTTCATGGGACGGTCTCGCAAGAAGGAGAGAAAAGAATGGAAAATAAGTGGCGTGGAAAATGTTGCGTTATTGCTAAACTTCGATTGTACGCCTCAGTAGAGGGGCAATATTTTTTTGCTCACCTGCGCACTGATGGGCGAAACTGGAGCGAACGTCTTGACTAGAGCCCAAATAAGGACTATCAACATCGGTGTACCTAAAAAGACACACAAATTTAATATTTTCATTGAATAAAGTTGCAGTCAACGCAAAAATACATAATAAATGGTGAGAGTTTTCTTCATAGAGAAAGATTTTTTATTCTATTTTCTTTCAAATTTTTTCATTATTTTTTTATATAAGTTTTTTCAATTGAAGAATAGAAATAAAAACAGCTTTCTTAACGAGAAAAATCCCAGTTACCATTTTTATTATTTTTTTTTTGTTTTGCATAAGAAATTTGGATTTTCTCTCCAACAAAGCAGTTTTCAGGGTCACAAAGCTCTCAAGCGTTGCAATTTCGCAAATGTGGGTCGCGAGTGCAGTTTCGCCACAGGGTTAATTGCGTCTCGCTTCAAACACACACACCAGCTCGCGATTTGCGTCGAGTGGCGTGTAATTAGAGATACTAATTACCAGTGTCCGGTAGAGGAAAATTGCACTCTGTCATTAGCGAATCAAATTAAAATGGAAATGGTACAAATTTCATCACAGTCAAATACTATATAAAAAAAATTACACCAACTTTTTTGTTTACCGATTGTAATTTATCAATTTTATTAATCAGATAAATCATTTCACACAAATGAATAAGATTTTAAAAAAAATATTGGACACCAAAAAACAAAAAAATATTTTTTCACATTAATGCTAGAAAGAAATATGCAAAACTTATTCCAAATAAAAATCTCTTGTAGAATTATTAAGATAAAAATTAATTGACAAATTAATGGTCGATGGAATTCATGATCAAAATAGGCAAGAGGATGAAAATAAATACTTAAAACAAAAACATTATTTCTTTTCAATAATATGTAGAACAACTTTCATAGAATTCGAATCACTTTGAAGCTTGAAACATTTAATCCTGTTTTAGCAAAACTATAGACGGAGAATTTTGCAGTTCGCAGACAATCCACAGCCCATGGCAAAAACCGCAAACTGGCCGCTCTCCAATTCTAGTATGTACGCTTGCAAAACGTACACTTGCGGCCGCAACTATAGCTGTGTGTCTAGTTGCAGTTTTAGTCTGGCGTTAATTAGGGCCACCCGTCGGGGCGAGTGAATAAAAAGCAAACCTAACTCTCGGTGCCACAGCAGCAGTCAAATGAAAAAGTAATAATGCGAAAGGCTTACCCCATCCGATGCAGACGTAAACTCGCAGTCTGATGTTCTCCACCGTGAAAGTTTCCACCACCAGCACATGCAAGTACAACCCTGAGCAACACAGAGGAAACAAGAGATTATTTTGCGTCGAATAATAATTTTCATTTATTTTATACAAATAAAATTTGAAACGAAAAAGGAAAGTGCGTTCCGGGAAATTTTGTTTTAATTCACAAAGGGCGGATAAACCGTTTGTAAGGAGCAATTTTGTTTTATTCATTCAGACGTTTGTAGGCCCTCACTGACCATTAAATTTGCAAAGTGGATAGTTCAGACTGGGGAGTAACATAATTTTTTCACAAACAGTGTTTTTTAGGTTAAAATTTTAACTGCAAAAGTCGCAGGTAAAGTAATTTTAATAAAAAAATATTTAAAAAAGCTTAAATTTATTCATCTCCAATTCTACATCTTTATATATATGTATATTTATAATTTCTAGATTATCATGTTCAGGAAATCTTGTCTTTCCTTGATTTGCGTGGGAATAAAGGTAGAAAAATCTTTTATGTGTGTGTTTTGAAGGATAAAAGGTTTCCCTAGATGGGCAAAATGTTTAGAAAATATTATTTCCCTTTAAATAAAATAAATGAGCCTGTTATGCTTTTAAAGGTTGATATTCTCCTTCCGAGCTTGTAGAGTTTCTCTCATTCAGTTATATAAAAAAATAATTCAAATCCATCGCTGCGCAACAGTTTTTTTGTCAACATGCTTTGGAAGCTCGTCTGTCACGACCACGAAGATCTACCGGTGGCTTTTTCGGCTCGGGGCGGTGGAACATGCGCCGGAAAAAACGCGACCTGCTTTCCTGGAGAGCATAATTTGATAATGGAGGTTCGCAGAGAGAAAGAAAGAAAGAGGAAAAGAGCAGAGGCCGCTTTTCGCCCGGCGGCCCATTGTTTCCGCAAAATGCGTGTACGTCGAATTCGCATTTCTATTTTCTCCCTCCAAGGAAGAGAAAGTTTAGTTCGGCTCAGCCGCTGATCATCCCCTTATTAAGGGGCTATTTTGCTTGCGCGCCAAACTTCTTTCACCGAGGAAGAGAGAGAGAGGATTACACTATCTTTAATGCGCCTGTCTGAATTCTGCAACCAAAAACTTTGAAAACTTTCTCAAAGTGCGTTTCTGCTTAAATAAACACCTGAATATAAATCAAAAGTCGATACCAATAAGAAAGCCTTTTTATGTAACGGAAAAAACAAAAAAGTTGGTTATATGCCAGAAAAAAATCTAGTTCAAAATTTTTACAAAAGCACAAAACTATGGAAGAAAAACCTGAAGAAATATTCCTATATTCAAGAAATGAAAATAAAATTTATTCTTGTTGAGCGTGTTTTTTTTCCACTCCGAAATAAGAATAATATTGAATTTCGTCGGAGGAAAATTATCCGCAGAAGGTAATTAAAAATTAATTCTGCGGAGCTCGGAGGGTCTTAAGACTGCTGCTTACAGTCTCTGCAAAAGATGAATATTTCACGTGCGCGTATCTGCTTCACTCTCTGCTCATATTTAACAGTGCGCACCGATTAAATTCTAATCCGGGCTTTGCGACTACGCACATGGGAGTGCCTTACTTTTTCATCTCAAGTTTCATACCGTGTAATGTTAGTTAAATTACCTTCGACGAACATCCAGAAGAAGTTGGTCATTTGGCAGTAGTGAAGCAGAATTACCAGGGCCACGCAGGACGCGGGCTCTGATTGGAGGGACATCTGAAACAACAATCGGATTAATTAGTAAATTTTAATTGCAAATGGATTAATGCGGAAACATATGTCGAATTTGCATTAACCAATTTTGATTTATAAATCTGCACAGGGACTTATTTCAACGTATTTAAGCAGAAATATTGATAAATGTTTGCTAAAATGCAATACTTTAATTGGGTGGAGCAGAGGAAAAAGCTTTAGCTATTTGCCAAAATAGGCACTACATCAGTTAACTGTGAAATAGACAATATTAAGTTAAGTTGCTAAGAAAATTTAAAGTTTATAATGATTTTCTTTGCAAGAAACAAGATTTTTGTTTTTTGTTAAAAATAGGTAAATACGTTGAATTTTAGTTAATGAAAACTCAAATTTAACATTTACTTTTTATCCCATAGTTGTTTTGTATTGTAGGTAGAATAAATTAAAGTTTCCAAGTAATAATTTATCGATTACATATCACCTGGCACTCTAATTTTACCTCAAATTGACTTCTAAAGTTATAAGGTTTTGATTTTGCAAGAAAAATGGACAATTTATTAGAAGAAAAATCTAAATCGAGCAATTCATGTGAATTTGATAGAAATCGGGGAATGTGAAAAACTTTCATAATTAAATATACAATTGTAATTTCCTCATAGATACGCACCTGCAAGGTTATGGTCAAGATCCACATGAAGTCGGCCAAAATGTAGCTGAGCATTAAATTTGTGTGGATGGTGTTGCGCAAACATCGTAGGTCTCTGCAAAAAATGAGGAAGTTCATAAATACAATGATGGCCTGTGTTAATTGGCTCAAATATTTTTTTAATAAAAATCGTAAAAACGAAATTTCCCTTTTTGCTTTTTTAGATATAGCAAATTCACAAACATCATTTTATTGTGCGCGCCTTATTTTAGATACACTGAAGGAAAAAGGGGGACGGAAAAGGCGCAGCATTAAAGTATATGAGCGCGCGTTCTCTGCGTGCTCTTTGTGGGGCTGATCAAATAAAGATGTGCATTCTCAGCAGAAGAAAAGGTCCTTCCGCCCCAAAAGAGTGCTACGTTAGATTTGGTTAGATTTTCTGCCGAACGTACCAACAAACTCGCATCTCGAAAGAGAGAAGGAAAACGTTATTTGAAAAACTCTAGAGGGAATTCATGTAAATTTTTGCCGAGATTGAACATTAAATAAAAATAAAGGATGGAATCCTTGTTGTTAAATGTATGCAGGTCTATACAGAGTAAATTATTTTGAAAGCATATGCAACCCCAAAAAAATTACAAAAAAACAAAATGAACTGTAACAATCTTTAAAATGTACATGAATTTTTTGTACTTTCTAGAGATACTAAAAAGCTTGATGTTAATTGAAATACCCAATCATACTGTTTATAACCATACGTTTATGTTTGATAATTATTAATTAAATATTCAATAACGCAATTTAAATAATTTGTTTAATTTAATGACCAAAATGTAGAAATTTTAACATATTACTTCCATTAGAAAATAAATTATAGTTAAAATTAAAATTATACAAATAACCTTAAGTAATAAAAAATAATTTTAATACAGAAACTAATTATTTTAATTAAGTCGAACAAAATTATTTTAAAAATTTTTAACGCTATTATAAAAAAATACAAGATTTTATTAGAAAATTAAAGTTTAATCTCTTACTTGAAGTAGAGGAAGATTGCGACGGCGGCGCCGAGCGCGGCCAGGGAGAGCGTGTAGCCGGCGTAGTAGATGCTGGTGGTGACCTCAACGCTGGCCTCGATAGGTGGCGGGGTCGAGAGGTCACGGCACAGAGTGTAGTTGGTGTACTTTGCCCACGCGCCGTCGACCTGGCAAAGCCTCGTGGCGTTCTCTGTAACCAAGGCAACGGGCCAGTTGAAACAACAGGCGGAAATTTTTCACAGAGGACGTGCAAAATTAAGCGCACCGGTCTGCATTAAACATCAGTAGCATCAACCGACTCTCCGGGGCCGCTTTCCCTTATTATCAAATGCTCTCGCCCGAGCCAAATTGCTTTGTGCTGAAAACGGCGGAAAATGCATGGGATGAGCAAAAACGCCGGCTTGCAAACAACGATCGCACCCACGCGGCCTTTTAAAGTGAGCCGTTTTCATGAAGGAGCAGTCGCGGTACTTTTTTGCCAAAGTTTTAGACGACTAAATAAATATTACGTTACCTCTAACTTCACATTCTGAACACTTTCCTGCCTTTTATGAACAGCTCGTTAAAATCATTCTAAAATAACTCAAGTGGGAGTTTAAAGATCCATTTCGTGGAAAAGTTTTAAATGAGAATTACGCTTGAACGATGTGCAAATAAAATCATCCAGGAGAATAATCAGTGAAAATTGCTCATTATCGTTAAAGGGCTGTTCAAAAAAGGAGCTCATATTTATAATCCCTACATCAAAATGTGTGGAATTTTGTGTTGATTTAAATTTTAGATCATTTTATAATGGCTCTTTTTAATTATATATTTATTTTCTACATCATTTGCGCAAAATTGTGACTTCAAAAGGAAATTGCAATAATTAAAAAGATTTATTCAGCAGATAAAAATTTGAAAAGCAAACCAAATAGATTGATTTATTTTCTCGCAAAAAGTGATATATACTATTATAAATTACAATTTACACATTTTACGAAAATGGAAGTATGTAGTTAAAATAATTTGAATTTAATAAATATAAATGTATTATATTTTATAAGAATTAAATAAGCAATGGAAATTGGTTTTCCAATTCAGAAAATTCTCGGAAGTCGGCGAAGTGTGAGAGAGGCTAGAATTCTGGCGCCAAAAGGGGTTCTCGGAGGTAAATACAGTGTATAACTGCTTTGTTTGCACGTCGAGACAATTGCAAGGCAACGTTGAAACAACGTTTGCCGAGAAGGGAATTATTGTTATCGTTACGATTGTCGTCAGGAGGAAACACGCTTGCTGAGCGTTCTGGGCTTAAAATGCAGCGGAACGAAATTAAGCGCACTGAGCACAAAATAAGCAGGTGATTTATCGTCTTTGGCACCTGCTGGTGCTCATTCTGAATGAGCACGAAATGAATTATTCAGCGGCGTGCGTCTTGAGGCGATTTTAACTCGGCGTGTACAACACAGGCCGGCGGCGTCTTGCGAAATTTGAGCCTCCCGACCTTTGACATTTGGCACGGCAAATATTTGACTTGCTCGCTTGTTGCTGACCGCGAATTCTCGAGCGATTTCCGTCTGCAAATACCGAGAAATGCTGAAGACGCACCATCTGGAAATTATTTTGAAGGGAGAGAAGTTCCCCCTAAATCCTACAAAGGCAATTTTTTTAAATTTTCGAACATGTAACAGTTAAATTGTGGTATATCGATGAGCAGATTGAAAAGTAAGCAATTTTCATCTTTGATTATTAAACATAATTAAAAATAATAAAAATAAACAACTTTGAAAACTGTTTTCATTATTTAATTGAAAAGTCTGACAATGAGAATGATTTTAGTGAGTCAATAAGTATCTCAATTTATTTTTAAACATCTACACCAAGCTGTGCGTGTACGCAATTAATTAGTGCACTCAAATTTCGCGCACTTCCACTCTGCAGATCCTCCAATTCGCGAATTTAATCGCCGCCGGTCGTTGGACCAACTTTCAATCAAAGAGCGACTGAATCTGACGTGCGTAGGCTGCACACTGCAAACATTAAACCCACGGTAATTTGATCGCGCCGCTAATTAAACCGTCTGTCGTGCTTTGATTTGTATGGAAATGTTTATCAAAAAATTGTGAGTAATATTATACCCTCTAGAGACAACATAGCTGGCAAATATAGCTTGATAACGGGCTGTTACTGATCTAAAAATACTTAAGTCTCAACTTTTGTTACCAAGGAACAGATTGTGCCAGAAAAGATTTTGAAAAATAAAAATATTATAACATGGTATTTTTAGTATTTTTTGTTAGCTAAAATTCCTTTCCAACAGTACCATATACCAAATTTAAATTTAAGGCTAGACAAATTATAAACTTCCTATGAATTTCACACATTAATAAATCTTATGAATGGTCATTATTTTGGAATCTAATTTGACTTCAACTTTTTAAACCAGAAAATATTTTGGCAAGGAGCAGTAATTTTTATTTCCCTTCTGTATACGCGTGTTCTGACCTCATTCCATCCAGATTCCAGGACTGTAAATTGCGGAAGCGTCTTGGAGGTCGTCCTAATTCACAGAGTTGTTTGCTGGCAGTAAAAACGAGCAACGAACCGCGAGCGCGAATAAAAATGCAAGGGCGGCCGCGTTGATTCATAAATCAGTCCTGCGGCGGCGGGAAATGGGCCGTCAAGCGCGTGCATCAGTAAATTTAACACGCCTATTCATTTGACGGCGGCCGGTTTCCTCATATCGCGAAAATGAACACGCATTTCCACATTGCTGCTCTGATTGAATTCGCGAGCAGATGCTGCCTATATATTCATGTATATTCCTCGGTTCAAAGTTATTATTATTCATTCCTCTCTGTCGATACACAAATTTTCAAAAATTTGGAAAAAAAGGGAACAAAAGGATTTGCAACTTGCAGATGCATGCTCAATTTTTATGAAGAAATTTATTTATTTTAAATCGATCGCTTGTGAAAGTCACTTTTCAGGATCGAAAATATCGTCATTAACTGAAAAAATGTTTGTCAGTTCCAATCTTTAAAATCTTAATATTTATTTTTTAAGTTACTTTAGCTTATTCTCTCAACAAGGAAAAAATTATCAAATAAAATCATGTTTTAAGTTTTAATAAAATCATTAGAATCTGAATTTTAAGATAAATGTTGAAAATTGTACTCAATTGAGTTTTCAATAATGACCAAAATATTGCATGCAAATTGTATTATCCAAATAATAAATCATTTTTTTTGTGTATTTTATAACCTCTTAAATTTTACTCTGCTCGAAAACAATTTCTGAGTGAAATACTTTAATGTTAAAATGCTTCAAAATCGATATTCTTAGTCTTTTCTTAAAGCATATGGCAATTTGAAGGAACACAACTGTGCACTCACTGACGCTACTATTCCAGCCATTCCAGCCTCGCGCCAATATTTGCATTTGCTGCTTTTTGATTAAAACCTATCTGCGGGCCATTTAATTGCTGCGAGTCGTCGAGCACAGTAGTTGCCTGCTTGAGTCGCTTGGGGAGAAATTCCACAGGTATTTAATATGTAGAGGGAGAACGTGGAGCTGCTTGAAATTAAAAGGGGAACCTCGCAGCCGTAGCAAAATGCAAATGATGGTGGAGCGATTTAAATTCAATCTGCTCTGAAAGCTGCGGTAAAATTGTAGCAGGCAGATTACGCGCAATTTGCTCAGGCAAATTGAAGTGTGAAATGAAATTTTCAACTCGTCGTCAACGTTGGAAATGTATAATAAATATACGTCGTGCAGAGATATATCAAATATCCAAAATTTGTATAGCTGGTATAGCAGGTTTTGAAGTGAGGGGTATTTTGATTGGATATTTATTATTTATTGCATTTTTAATCATGAAACTATATTGTTAAATTTAACTAAGTAGTTTTATATTGCTAAAAATTCCAAAAATTTGTTTTTATAAATTGGTGATTTTAATTTTCATAAAGATAAACTTTACAGAAAAAAGTTTTAAATCCATTCACTAAATTTTATGAAAAGTTATAAATTATTATTAATTAATCATTAAAAATTTATTTAAATTTTTATACACTGTTAAAATAGAAAGTTCACTTTTTACAATACATAATGCTAAAATAATGATACATCTTTAAATGTTATTAAATTGCAATTATACAAATGTGACAAATTCACAATATATATTTGCAAAAAAAAATCATACAATTTATAGATAATAAATAATTAAATTACTTCGCTTGATATGAAAAGCTTATTGTTTAGGAAAAAAAATTATATTTATTCTGTTTCATATGACATTCTCCTCGCCTGGAGCATCTGCAGCCAAAAAGAGATCGACTTTCCTTTGTTTCGTTATCGCACGACGCTCGTTTTTTTATTGTTGTTGCCAAACGCCGGGACTCGTTTGCCCGTTTTTCCCGATGGAATCTTTGCGGGCGGTCCCGGCAGGAGAGCGAGCGACCCAGTTGCACCCAGCAACTCGTTACATTTCATTCCCGTTCCCTGCGGCAATTCTGGAAAAAAATTCACTATGTGCATTTACAAAATACAGCGGGATAAAAGTCGGGAAGTTTCTATTACGCTGTCGATTCTATATTTGCATAAGATATTCACTTATTCTGACATTCATATGTGCAGTGTTTGCGTGTCGTATAATGGTCTCGTTTGCTATTGAACTGATACCGTTGAAGCAATCTGATTTTTTTCGTTGATTTGGATTTTTGAAACAGTGGGATACAAAAATTGATTCAAAGAGAGAAAACTTTCATATTGCTGGAAAAAAAAATACAAAAGTGAAAAATTATTATGTGGATCATAATAATAATAAATATGAATAGGCGGATTCAGACTCATAAAGGAAAAGTTTTTTTTGTCAATAAAACTGCAAATTTGACAATTAAATCAAAATTAATAGTAACCAAATAAATTCAATTGCAAAATTAGCTATAAAACCGTTACAATTAAAATTAGATAAAATTTAACTTGAGAAGAAAAAAGCTTTTTTGTTTAGTTTAATTTAATGCTAATGTAAAATGATTTTGAATCATCATCCCAGTGTGAACGAACGACAAATTCATAACGCCTCTCTCTGCCTTTGTGTCCGTGTTTGGAGCTCATGTGTGTGCGGAGACCCTTTTCGGTCGGTCTATATCTCTCCTCGTGCAGTTGCAATTACATGAATGTGAGACTTGCGAGAGCCGAGGCCCGCTT